GCTGGAGTCAATTCTTCAATGTTGTGATATTTTAAGAATGATGCATTCTGCAGAAGGGAACAGTGCTTGAAGCTGGAGGAAGTGAGGCTAGTTTCTTGATGCAGTCTTTCACTTTAACCAAACGTTCCTTCATCAACATGTCAAGGGACTTTGGCTACTACTGGCTAAGGCTTGTTATCTACATTGTGGTTACTATATGTATTGGAACCATTTATTTGAATGTGGGGACAGGCTACAACTCTATTCTGGTACTTCTATTTCTCATTTGAAAGAAATTTGAACTTGTCATTGGATCAGTTTGGCAAGAAATTTTACCTTCATGGAGTTCATGCGTATTCTTTCTTTGTTTTCAGGCCAGAGGTTCTTGTGCATCTTTTGTCTTTGGTTTTGTCACCTTCATGTCAATTGGTGGATTCCCTTCATTTGTTGAAGACATGAAGGTAAATGTTCTGTGCCCCCATGCAACCACTAACCAAAACCATTATTATACTCAGTATAATGTAGTAGAAAATCATACATTTTCAATGTCAATCGCAGGTTTTTCAAAGGGAGAGGCTTAATGGGCACTATGGTGTCAGTGCATTTGTCATCAGCAACACATTATCTGCAATGCCCTTCCTGATTTTGATCACTTTTCTCTCTGGAACCATTTGTTACTTCATGGTTCGCCTACACCCTGGCTTTTGGCATTACGTCTTCTTTGTGTTGTGCCTTTATGCCAGTGTCACAGTGGTTGAAAGCTTAATGATGGCTATTGCTAGCATTGTCCCCAACTTCCTCATGGGCATCATTATTGGAGCAGGAATTCAGGTATGCATGTTCTTCCCCATAGTATACGCACATGTGCATTAAGTTACATCCATCCAAAACAATACCATCATTTCCTTGAATGATGGTATTATAAATTCAACCTTCTCCATTTGTTCTATAAATTTCTAGCTTTTATTTCATATAACAGTGAATCTACTAATTGCATATCATGTTACATAAGCAGTTGAAACCAGGAATTGATAATTGTGTCTCTAGGCATGTTTGAAAACTCGTTGAGATATAACAAATGTCAATGGATGCTCACAAATATTGATAAATCTTCACCTATAGATGCCTATGAGGATAGCTATAAATACGCAATTTTTCCATGACACTAGATCATGTGAAAATTCAACACGAGGATTCATTCTGTAAAACCTTTGACCTTTGCTAAATAATTGAGTTTTCTTATTCTATTTTTCAAATTTCAGGGCATATTCATGTTGGTCTCAGGCTACTTTAGGCTTCCACATGATATCCCAAAGCCAGTTTGGCGCTACCCTATGTCATACATCAGTTTCCACTTTTGGGCACTACAGGTAACAGAAGTAGCACATTTGAATTCTTGAAAGCCATGTGCTATTGTTATATCTGAGTGTGACTACAAGAACTATGAAAACTCTTTCAGGGTCAGTACCAGAATGATTTGAGGGGCTTACTATTTGACAACCAGACACCAGACCTTCCAAAGATACCAGGAGAATACATCTTGGAAAAAGTCTTCCAAATTGATGTCTACAGATCAAAGTGGATAAACCTGAGTGTGATCTTCAGCATGATTGTGATTTACCGCATTATTTTCTTCATTATGATCAAAATCAACGAGGATGTGACACCATGGGTTAGAGGGTACTTGGCTAGGAGGAGAATGCAGCAGAAGAGTGGAGCACAGAATACAACTATTGCACCTGATGTTCTCACTCAATCACCCTCTCTCAGAACCTATGTTTCAAAATGAAGTCATCAAAGTTTGACTCAAACAATGAACCTTTCATTATTAAGTAGGATTAGATATATAATATATATATAAAATATAACTCAAAATTCTTATTATTTTTATACATTCTTCCTCTTACCATGTTGACAAACACATACTTTGAGTTCCCTAAGAATGGGTGAGTAATATGAAATTCTGAAGTGTTTTATTATTCTGTTTATAATTTGAAAAAATACACAAATCTTTCATCTACTTTTCATTTTACTTCATATTAATAATCTATATATACAAAAGTATGATTAATTTCAATTTCATAAATAAAAATAAATTAGTAGAGTTATATATAAAGGTTTAAATATGATTGACAATATCTTAAAAGGTTTTAATAATCTCACATGGTTAATTTTATGTATAAATATAATCAATTTTATTTCCCAAATAATTAATAATGTTATGAAATTATTGACCTTACATCTCAATGATGTATGCAAATATGCAAAAACTTATTGAAGTTATTAAATCTCATGTGATATTATGGTGTCACCAAATGGGTTAAGCAACTTTACCACAATTGCACCATAAAAATGTTCTAAAAAGGACTAAGTTGACATATGAAACATAATTAATTGACACTCAACTAATCACATGTTAAAAGGATCAAATCAATCAAAATTGGATGAACCATTTTGACCAAACTGAGCAACACAAGTTGTTATCCCTTCTTTGTTTTTGTCATGCATTTAACTAAATCGAAACCAACTTGGCTTTGTGGTTTGCATTCTCTTTCCACCCATTTTTTGTGGCTTTATAAAATCACAACCACCATAATAATGGCTGCAACCACCAACCTTCAGCCACACCCTAAGCCACAACCACCGTAATAAATAAATAATAGTACTAATAATACCACGCGTTTCCAATTAATGCACATTCTGTTCTCTCGTCTTGTCATTTTTTTTGTTTTTCTTTTACTGGTTACTTCCCAATAATTTTGCTTATTTTTTAAGATTTTATTATTTACACTCCCTAAACCCTCTATTCCGATTGTTCTACCACTTTTTTGGTCTTCTATATGTTTAGGGTATACATTTTTACTTTAATTTTGTTTCGTTGCAGGTCTAATAAATTCAACAATTTATATCAATTTTTTTTTGTCAAACTTTTCATTCCGTGTGCACAAAATAAGATTGATTTTATTCATATTTTAACAAATCTCAGGAGTATTTTTCGGGACAATTCCAAAAAGTAGTTTTCAGAACTTGTTAATAAGATTTTCATGGTGGTGAATATTCCAACGGATGAGTGTTAGCAAGGGGAGAGTGAGTGAGGGATACAAATGTTTGAAAAAGGGATGAAAATGTCAAGAAGAGAGAGACAAAAAAAAGAAGAAGAAGAAGAAGTGAATGTAATAGCAATTATTGGGAGTGCAAATAGAAATGACAGATTCTTTTTTCGGATCATGTTGGGCCTAGCCTAGATTCAGGATTTGATTTGCGCAAACGAGCAAAATTGAACTATTAGAAGAATGGCAGTAACTTTATACTAGAATCTTTTTGTCAATTTTTGATAAAAAATTGTTTGAATGAACTTTTCATAATTTTTTATGAATTTTATAAAAATTTGTAAATAATTTTTTTTTACAAAAGATAAAAAGAAAATTGAAATAGTGTTTAAATAACTTACCTTATGAATAATTAATATTTTATTTTTTCTGAACTTTGTTTATATATATTTATTGTGCCGAATAACCCACACATCAATCAAAATATTTTATTAATGATATTTTGTGAGATATACAATATTTTTTTTATCATTAGTTACTTTTAATGATAATTTTATTAATTAATTTATTCTGCTATAATTATGTTTGTTTATTGATTTCTGTCATTAATTAATGTATTTATATTCAAATTTGTATATTTATTATGTTTAATAAAAATATTTTTTAATTAATTCATTTAATTGTGTATTATAATTTTAATATATAATTATTCAATTATAAATAGTATTACATTTAAAAGATAATAATTGATATTAAAAATATATCTAATTTATTACCTATAAGAAATATATAAATATATCTATTTTATTATTTACAAATCATGGTATTTTTATTTAAAGAATTTTATCATAGTGTTTTTATTTATAAATCATCTTTCTTTAACATTCTTTAAAGTTTGATTTAGTAGATTTGAAAGTTACCTGCTATCCTATGCTGGAGCTCATTATTAACTTAGTTTTGAAGTTATTTATTATTGTAATTTCTGGGAAAAATAATTAATTTTCCTTAATTTTCATAAACAATCTAAGAAATCAATCAGCAACAACTATTACTTATTCATCACATTCACCATGACATTATAAATTGTGTTTTGCATTGGTTAGACAAACTTTTGGTTTATGAAGGTTGGAGCAATTTATGTCCTGGGTTTGTTCAATGTGTTGGACAAGGATGTGTCAGATTGTTGAATAGTAATAAAGAACTAAAAAATTGATTGGGGACCCAATAATCTTGAGTTTATGCATGTGAGGTTCTCCGAGTTGGTGGAAAAAAAGCTTGAAAGAACATTGGGTGACAACTTTTTGTGTTTCACTAAAAGTTGAAAATCCTAAATGGAGAACTGAAAAGTTTACAGTAACAGAGTTTGAAGTTGGTAAGGACAATAAAGTGTTTGGACCAGAAATATGAAGTGAGGTTTGAAGAAAGGGGTCTGAAAAATTTGAAATTAATCTGCCAACACAAGATATATAAATAATTTTCATTGGAAATGTTGTTATAGATTGATGAACACTTACCAACTTTACATTACATAGAAAACACAGTTGCACATTAGCAGGTAAATGAGGGAAAATTACATAGATGAGATGATTTAACAGCTGAACTGAAACTAAAGATTGTGAAAACAAATCGTAAACTGGATATGTCAACTAATGTACTTAGATTCATCACTTGCAAAAAGCAGTGCAGCTTGTGCTACATCTTCTTCTGTCAAAGCAACCCCTTCAAGATTTCAATAAACTTTTGAGTTGTCATTATCAAGGTAGAAGAACTCTTTTATTACATAGAAACACATAGTACTAGTAACAGGAAAATAAGGGAAAATTAAGTAGATGATGTATAAATTCGATGGCAAATATTATTACACATGCGTAGATGAACACCTGACTGTTTATTACATGACACACAGTTGCACAGTAACAGGAAAAGTAGGAAAAATTAGTTAGACCAGATGATGAACTGAGAAGTTCAAATTTAGGATTGTGAAAACAAACCAAAACTTGGATTAATAGTTGTAAAGCCACCATCGACTGCTAGATTATGTCCACTAATGTACTTAGACTCATCACTTGCCAAATAGAGTGCAGCTTGTGCTACATCTTCTTCTTCCAAAACCACTCCTTTAAGATTTGAATAAACTCTTGAGAACCCTTCATCATCTAGTTTGAAGAAATCTTTTGCAAGTACATTACTAATGCAATAACATGACAGACAATTCACTCTGATGCCATATTGTCCAAGCTCAGCTGCTGTATTCTTTGCCAGTCCCACAATGGCATGTTTAGAACTTGTATATGCATGAGTTGCAACCCCTCCAACGCTTGAGCTAACACTTCCTATTGTTATTATGCTACCCTTTTTAGCTGGGATCATCACTCTAGCTGCATGCTTTGTTCCCAAGAAGGGACCTACCAAATTGACCCTAACAACACGTTCAAATTCAGCGACATCATTGTCAAGAATGCTGGGTTTAGCATCATCTATTACTACAGCATTGTTCACCATTATGTCTAACTTTCCATACTTGGATATAGCTATGTTAACTGCATTTTCAACATCAACTTCTTTGGACACATCACAATGAACATAAGTTGCATATTCAGTTCCAATCTCATCTTGCACTGCTTGACCTAGCTGATCTCGAATGTCTGCAATCACCACTTTTGCCCCATGTTTGCAGAAGAACTTCGCCATGCACTCACCCACGCCCCTTGCCCCACCAGTAATCAACGCCACCTTTCCTTCTAGTCTGCGCAAAATTGTACAACAATAATAAAAATATGTAGCGTTGATGAGATCATAAATTCAATTCCAAATAGCAACAATGAAGCTCTTAAAAAGATCAAAATTAGAACAAAATATAGAGTTTGAATTTCACTCTGTATAAGTTGCATGGTTCTTAATATCAGCCACACCTTTTTGCAAGAAGGGGCTGTGGAGTGCATGCCATATTAACAAGATCACTGTAAAACACTTTCTATGAAGATGATCTAAACCAGAATGTGTTGAAATCGTATAAACACAACTCCTTAAATAACCATGGCGAAAGGATGAACTGTTCTTCGTCAACTCTAACGTATTACAATATTGAGAAATTAAGCTAACCCACATGGATGTCGCAATTAATGGTTGTTATAAGCTGAAATTTGATTTCACAATTTGGCCAATAGTCATGATTCGCTCTGTGAAAACCTATTCTATTTTATGTGACTGTGCATTGCACGAAAAGACATTATTTATTAGACGATGTTTAATTAATGTTGTCTAGTTGTTAATGTTTACTAATGTTTTTCAAACGATTTTCTAATTTTACTGAAAGAAACATAAAAACAATTCTTTAAGGAGTAAAGTAACGGAACGCGGAGTAGAATTTTTCTAACAGATCAGATTAACAATGACTCAGCAGTTTTCAGTGAACACATTAATACATAAATTAAAATCAATTCAATATTTCACAATTTAACTTTGAGACAAGTTAAAATGACTACTTTTTGTGAATATTTATAGAAAATATTCATCCTAACCTTTAAAATATTATATATATCAAGCAATTTTAGATGTAAGTTGATTACGTATTCTGAATATGTCAGGTTACTGACCTATTCAAATTCACGTATACACAAATTTAATAAATGTATATAATCAAAACATCATCAAATCAAACATTTTTCACATTTAAATTGCATCTTGTAATGAATATAATATGGTTTGTCAATACTAGAATGATTTAAATTTAATTTACTATAATATATTACAATATATATCCTTTGGGTAACTTATATTAACTGTTAATTTTAAATAAGTTTCCTCTTAAAAATCAATAGATATACATTTTCTGTAATATTTTTTTTATAATTCTTATAATTATCATTTTCTATATTATAATTAAAGTTGTAATTTTTAAAAACTTATGTAAAAAATGTTAAAAAAAAAATCATGGATCACACGGTCTAAGTACTAGTCTAAATTTATATAAAATCTACAATGTTTATCAGGAAACAAAATTTTGAAATGAAAATCTATATATAATTTATACAAAACTACATAATCTTTAGGACAAGTAATTTACCTTTTTAGAAAAATAAATGATAAAAATATTTCCAAAAACCCCCTCTTTTGTATCGAATATGATAGCACAATATATACATGAAATACAGAAACATTCTAGGCTATAATTACACTAATCATTATAGTCGGTATCCTAAATTTGTCTATTAACAGATATGACATTAATGTGCATCACTGTGCATCGCTGTCATGCCAAGCTAAATATGGAAAAAATTAATCATGTAGAATCATGGCATGATACGGTATTTGTAATCGTATATTCTATGTTTATCACCCTCCCTCAAGATGGAGTATGAAGGTTGTGAATGCCCAACTTGCCTAAAAAAGAACCAAATTTAGTGGCGCCAAGAGATTTGGTGAAGAGATCAGCCAGTTGATGATGAGTGGACACATAGGAGGGTTGGATATGATTGTGTTGTATTTCATCACGAATAAGATGACAATTCACTTCAATATGTTTTGTCCGTTCATGAAACACAGGATTCTTGGCAATGTGAAGGGCAACTTGGTTGTCACAGTAGAGAGTCATAGGGTCGGTGTGAGTAATGCCTAGGCTCGAAAGAAGGCCTTGAAGCCATTTCAACTCACATGTCGTGTTGGCCATAGAACGATATTCTGCCTCAGCGGATGATCGAGAAACCGTATGTTGCTTCTTGGTTTTCCAGGAAATGGGGGATTGACCAAGGAAAATAAACCAACCGGTGAGAGATCTTCGAGTTAGAGGACAACTTGCCCAGTCCGAGTCACACCAACCATAAAGACGAAGGTCACTCTCTCTTTTAAAAGCACACCCCGACTCGGGCTGCCCTTTAAATAGCGTACCACGCGGAGTGCAGCCCGCCAATGCTCCCGACGCGGTTGGTGCATGAATTGAGATAGGACATGAACACCGTAAGATAATTCAGGTCGTGTAAAACACAAGTAAATAAGGCGACCGACGAGACGTCGATATTGACTCGGGTCGAAAGTAGTTCGCCATCGCCCAATGCTAAACGATGATTTTCTTCGATTGGCGTGGACACGAGTTTCCCTCCAAGCAATCCCGCTTCAGCTATGATGTCCAACGCATACTTCCGTTGACACAAGAAAATTCCTGTAGGAGATCCGGCAACCTCCACCCCAAGAAAGTATTTTAATTTCCCTAAGTCCTTCATACGAAAACATTGATGAAGATAATCTTTGAATTGCGCAATGTCTTCATGATGATTGCCAGCAATGACTAGGTCATCCACGTAAACTAACACAACCAGCTCGACATCTCCTTTGCGAAAGATGAACAAGGAGTGATCGGACGAAGAACGTTGAAACCCATATTGAACAAGAGCAGTTGAGAGCTTGGCAAACCAACACCGAGGAGCTTGACGAAGACCATAAAGGGACTTGCGAAGACGACACACCATACCCTTTTGAGACACCAAGAACCCCGGCGGCATTTTCATGTACACATCTTCCTCAAGATCGCCGTGCGTAAAAGCATTATGGACATCCATTTGATGAAGTTCCCAGTCTTTGGCTACCGCCACCGCCAAGCACCTGTCCGAATGGTGACCATCTTTGCCACTGGGGCAAAAGTCTCGTCATAGTCAATCCCCTCAACTTGGTGATTTCCCAAGACAACTAATCGGGCTTTGAAGCGTTCAACGCTCCCATCGAATGATATTTGATTTTATAAATCCACTTGCAACCCGGAGGCTTCTTCCTCGCTGGTAGAGGAGTAATGTCCCATGTTTCATTACTTTGGAGGGCCCGAATTTCACTAGCCATGGCATCTCTCCATCTAACATCCCGAACGGCTTCAAAGAAATGCACAGTGTTCTCTCTCCGCATGAAGGGCCGCAAGAAAGGTTCAGTGGGGGAAGGAGAATTTAGCACAATTTAAGTACTTTGTCAAACTATAAGGCATACCCGAGGAAGCCGAATGTGGAGTGCGAATTGAGGGACCGAGTTGTAAAGTGGTGTTAGGGACATAATCACGAAGCTTCACAGATGACTTTCGTACACGAAGACCTTTCCCCAGGGATGCAGGGACAGTATGCTCCTCAGGAACCTCTAGTTCCGTCATCATAGAGTCGGCTTGTTCCGCGGGAGAACGATCCGGGTGGGAGGCTCTTGTTCATGGCATTCGGCGTGGCCCTCCCCGAACTCGGCTGTGGGCACATCTTCCGTTGTGGGGTTAACGTCATCGGTCTCCACAACGTGTTCTCGCATTGTTCATTGCACCAAGTCCAGACAATGCTTCCTCGACAATGCCAACATCAACAGTAGGCAATCCTACCTCCGAATGTCTACTGTGGGCAAGAGAGGCAAACTGGAATTCATGTTCTACAAACTTAACATCTCTCGAAGTCCGGAAGACTTCTCTTTCCAGCATCAAACAATTTCCAGCCCTTTTTTCGATTGAATATCCAACAAATACATTCTTGCGACTTCTACTTGCAAATTTGTCACCTTTCCTATCTTGGTTATGTGCATAACACAAGCATCCAAATACCCGTAGATGGTCATAAGTGGGTGGCTTCCCATTCAATATTTCATATGGAGTTTTTCCATGGAGAACGGTTGAGGGTGTACGATTGATCAAGTATCCTGCGGTCAAAATGCATTCTCCCTGAATTGAAGTGGAAGTTCTCCCCGAAATCGTAGAGCACGAGCTACATTTAGGATGTGTCGATGTTTTCGTTCGGCTCTCCCATTTTGCTGAGGTGTTCCAAGTGCATGAGGTTTGATGGAGTATCCCATGTTGCTGAAAATATCGTTGAAGACACATAAACTCGGCTCCATTGTCACTTCGTAATATTTTGACTTGTTTCTCGTATTGTCGTTCTATTAAAGTGATGAAATGCATTAAGGTTTGTGACACATCTTTCTTATTATTCAAGAGATATATCCACACAAGCTCGAGAACAGTCATCAACCAAAGTGAGAAAGTAAGATGCACCACAAGACGAGGGAGTTCTATATGGACCCCATACATCACAATGTATTAAATCAAATATATTGGATGCTTGAAAATCACTTAAAGGAAATGTGTTTCTGCATTGCTTTGATCTCTCACACACTTCACACACACGAGTTGTATCCGTATTTCTATTCACGCCGTTCGGATGCGGAATTTTTCTAACAATCTGGTAGGCAGGATGTCCCATTCGCTTGTGCCAAATCTCTAGTTGATTTTCTCGCATTGGTCCGATACGCCTTTATGCCACTCACACCACGATACCAATAGAGTCCCTCTTTTCGTTCACCCGCACCAATCAGCATCCTCGAAGTGTGGTCCTGCATTGCACAAAATCTATCAGGAAATGTACTGTACATTTTACTTCATTCGTCAATTGTGATACTCGAAATCAAATTGCAATTCAATTTCTGAACATATAGAACATGTTTAAGTTTCAGTCCTCCATCAAGGAAAACCGATCCTTCTTTGTTTGCCAGCACCAATTCACCATTTGGTAGTCCCACTGGGCACCCTTCCAAGGCTCGACTCTCCCTCAAGTTTTCTAGTGTTCCTGTCATATGATTAGAGGCGCCACTATCAATAATCCACAAGTCACATGCTTTCTTACCGCTCATCTTTTCAGCTTCATTTGCCTTGCGAGAATTCAACATTGCTGTCAAGATCCGCCATTGCTCATTACTCGACCCCGCGACTTCGGTTTTTCGGTTGAACCAACGTTATCCGCACCAGTGTGCGCCATATTGACGCGAGCCGTTCCTCCTTTTCCTCGGAAGGTTCCTGTTCTTTGTTGATTTTTTTCATCGCTTTTATCGGCTTCGTGGTCTCTCTCCCCACCATTCTCGGGTAACCAATGATCTTGAAGCAATTGCCTTTGTCATGTCCCTTCCTTCCACACCGCATGCAAACAACTCGATTTTTCTTTCGCTTCATTGCGCAACTTGTTCCCGGTTTCCGCTCGCATAGCCATTCCCACGATCATTCCTCGCTCTTCTTTAGACCTGGTGATTGTTCTCACCCTTTCTTCTTGCACCATGGTGCCATACACCCGATTCAACGAGGGTAATGGATCTGTTGCCAAAACATTTGACCGTGCAGTTCCATAGCCCTCATCATCTAGCCCCATCAAGAACTGATGAATTTTTTCTTCTTCTCTTCGTTTCTCAAGTTGCGTCATAATATTACACTTGTATCCCCCACATCTATACTGTGGGATTTGCTCGTAATTTGCCAGTTCATCCCACAACGTTTTCAACTTCCCATAATAGGAAACCATAGTCATTCCTTGTTGTTTGCATTCTACCAACTCTGACTTTAGCTGCTGGATTCTTGGTCCGTTCACGATCGAGAATCGTTCCTTGATGTCATCCCATAGGTCCTTTGCGTTTTCCATGTATGCAACAGTGGAACGCAAACTAGGTTCTATAGTGTTTAGTATCCAAGATACAAGCATCGATTGAATTGTCCACCAATCTTCTATCTCAGATGTGTCTTCTTCAGGTTCCTTATGAGTTCCATCTATGAAACCCCATTTCCTTCGAGCCCGCAGAGATATCTTCACGGCCCTTGCCCATTCCTCGTAATTCTCTCCTCGTAATTATACCTGTGTAATCACATTTCCAGGATTATCACTGGCACTCAGATCGTATGGCGATGGTGTTTTCTTCACCGTCTCTCCTCTCTCTGCCATTTTAGAAGTACGACTGTGTTCTCGGGCTGTTGGATATCAGAGTTTGGTTCGCTCTGATACCATGATAAAAATATTTCCAAAAACCCCCTCTTTTGTATTGAATATGATAGCACAATATATACATGAAATACAGAAACATTCTAGGCTATAATTACGCTAATCATTATAGTCGGTATCCTAAATTTGTCTATTAACAGATATGACATTAATGTGCATCACTGTGCATCGCTGTCATGCCAAGCTAAATATGGAAAAAATTAATCATGTAGAATCATGGCATGATACGGTATTTGTAATCGTATATTCTATGTTTATCAATAAAATATTGAAATCAAGAAAATTGGTATTCATAATAAGAATATCATAAACTTATAATTATAACTATAATAATTAACATAAGATATTTATATACTTTTCAGGTCCATATATCTATTATTTTTTAGTGTATTTTAAAAACATGAGATCCAATTAAAAGGTCTCGTTTTGGAACAACAAGTAATAGATTTTTGAAACTAAGATTCTATTAGGAATATAGTTTGTCGGTAAACATTTACAAAAAATAAAATAAGAAAAAAATAAATGAGCTTTTTCAATAATTAAAATAATCAATTCTTTCGGAAAAGCTAAATCATTTAGCTTCTCCAAGATGTTTATAAATTAAAATAAACTAATTTGAATTTAATTTTTTTTTTCAATATTTTCTCATAAATATCCATAAAAATATTACAGGTAATTTTTTCAATGAGTTGATTAGGAGAAAATTCACGTAGTTTTTAATACGTGAGAATGCTCACGTATTCTGGAATTTGTCATGTTCTTGGCTTATTTCACAAATTGAAATATAAAAAAGTTGTCCATATACCAATCATTTAAAAATAAAACATTTAAGCACATAAAAAATATGCATAGTGTAATTATAGTATGATAAAGATATTGTCAACTTAAATGAAAAAAATGAAGAAGGAAAAGTTTCTTTGAGTCTTGCGTGATTTAATATATTATTAAATTAGACAAGTAATTATATATTACAAAAGGAAAATGATATTAACTTCAATCATGGAACAAGTTAATTCTGCAAGTTGTTGTGGTGCATAAGTTAAACAACAAGTTGTTGCAACTCGCAAGTTCATATAATATTGCAGGCCACAAATTTTACCCCACCGATGACAATGATCTTTAGCAATTATATTTTGAATCTAGTTGTTAGAAGTCATTCAATCACTACAATTTACGACTGTTAAAAAATAAGAATAATTTTTAAATAATTGTTGGTTAAAAATTAATAAATTAATGATGATTTTAAATAGTTAACATAGATTATTTATACGATAAGTTTCATTATTGCTATTCTAACTCAGTTTCAACTTATTTAGTAGAATATTTTTCTTTATTTTTGTCTTAACAAAACATTGTTCTCTATCTTTACTTTAACAAAATATTATTTTTTACTATTATTCTCCCTTATAATAACTTTAAGTGTGTTAGAGATATTTGGTGAAGACATTACCATGTACTATAGAGAGAAATACTTTGAAAAAGAAAGAAAGAGGAAGAAGAAGAAAAAAATAGTTTAATCACAATAAATAAATGAAGAACAAAGTTACAACAAAAGAGGAGAAGAGAAAAAAAAAAAGAGAGAAAAAGAAGAAGAAGAAGTGGAAATGCAAATATAAAATGAATAGAATAGACGAAATTAAAATTTTTAATGAGATATACGATGATAATTCTATAAATAACTGTCGTTTATATAATATATGACGATAAATTTTTATAAATATAATCGTCGTTATATATTTGTTTTGTATATATAATATTTATTTAAAATTATCATCGTCATAAATAACGACCCATTATAAATGAATTATTATTAAAAAATTAAAACTAATCTTTTTAACAATGATTATCATATAACTGTTGTTAAAGAAAATCATTTTTTTGTCTATTTTATATAATGAATCATCGAAAATCATAATAAATGTTGAAATATAGTGATAAAATACTATCTTTTCAGCTTGAAAAAAATATGAAGTATAATGATATTTGAATACTCTGTTTCAACAATAGACTCACCTATTATTCTTGCTGAAAATTATAATAATGAATGATTTTCTATTTCATGATCTATTTACATTTATATTGTTATACACAATGATATTGCTGTACGTTTAGATTAATATATATTTTTAGTTTTTGTTGAAAAGAAAAACTATATAACATTAGAACTATCTTTTTTTTTTTTCTTGCAAAGAGTGAGATAGATGAAAAATTTGTTTCATTTACTATGTAGCATATGACTATAATATATTCAAAGAAGAAGATTAATTTTCAAATATGTTCTACTACGTTGGTGCACATGGTCAACTTTAATGCATTAATATTTAATTAAATGAACGTGGATCTATCGCTAGATTCTGGTTTATATAAGTTGGATCTGAATTTAATGTTTATATAAAAAGGAAATGCTTTTATATTAAACTTTAATGCATGAACTTACATTAAAAGCAAGAATCAAGAACTGTTTTAAGTTGACTATGATTTTTAAATTAAGTAGTGTAAATTATGTGTTTGTTATAATGTTCACACTCACAATTCTTGTAAATGTTCAAACTCATATCTTGTGTTTACTTAAATATTCCCGACCTCGTGATTTTTGTTTTTTATTCCAACAACCAAAATGTTTCTCTCACTTAATAGAATAATATTTTGCCCTTTTGGGACGCTGAAGCATTGGTGAAGTCTATAAATAGAGAGGTTTTATCGAGTTCAATTTGTATGCCTCCTTTTCAAAACTGTTATTGTAAGAATTCACATCACACCACCATGGCTCCCACTCTCAATTTTGACAGGGAACAAGACCAGGTTTTCTTCTCCTTCTTCTTTCCAATGAACATCTTTTTAATTATTTCATGAATGTTTGATAAATGACACATCGCCCTAGTCAACCTTCAAAGACAACTTTATCTTACTAATATTTATCTGTTAAAATGAGATTAAATATGAGCCAAAAAAACGTTAATTTTTATCGTTGTTTATTGAATTAATTAGGTTATTTATTCTCTTTCATCGTGTCTATTATCTCTACAGCATAAAATTTAAGTTTTTGTCATGGTCACTGATACTGATAAACTTTCTGAGTATATAATACTGCTACAAAAGCTTTTTGGACAGTGATATACACTGCAACAAAAAGTTGTACAGCAATTAAAACCTACAATGGTGTTCTTACTAAATCTTAGAAAAGAGATATATAAAGATCAGATGAATAGTTTAATAATCAATATGTTATATCAAACTCTTGGTGATATATTATTGCATGACTACACTTACACTTGTTGTATATTAATTGTTGTATAGGTACTTTTCACTGGAAATTCTTATGTGAAGGTAGTGATACTAAACAGACCTCAGAAGCTAAACAGCCTTAACCATGAAATGGTGAGTGTTCATAAAACAAATTCTGAAATGCTTTTGATATAGATTACTTTAATAACTTATTGATCACTGTTTTTAAAATCACTAGGTGAAGATTAGTTAATTAATTGAGCTGTCATTGTTAGGAGTTCAAGTGATTTAATTTTTAAAGGATTTTCCTTTTCAAACGCTAGATGCAAGGATGAGTCACCAAATATATTCTTCTATTAACAACTTGAATAATGTTAAAAAATTTAATCTTAAAGAAAACACGTTAACTTTTATCAGAGAATGACAATGGATTCTTTTGTTGTTTTACAGGTTTGTCAAATAAAGCATAATTTAGAGTTGTATGAGAATGACCCTTTAATCAAACTTGTGATATTGAAGGTAAATTCAGCAAATAATCTGCAAGGGGAATATTCCTAATAATATTCTTGTTGGATTGAGATCAGAAATTGGCCATAATATGAAATTAAATCTGCAGTTTCTTATCAGTTAAAGTTTGTACCTTTTACCTGATTAATTTTTTTTTTCTCTGAAATGAATATTTAGTTAAATATTTGCATTATTAGTTTATGTACGATAAGTTTCCATTATCATTATCTTTGAAGTAACTATCGTGTTAACTAGGGTAATGGAAAAGCTTTTTGTGCTGGTGGTGATGTGGTATCAGTGATTACGTCTTCAGTTGCAGGTACAACTTGTCCAAAACTAGCAAAATTTTATGGAAAAAAACTCCCTAACTCAAATTACAAGAACATGTTGAATTAATGGTTGTGTTGCTAGTGGTTTTGAAACTAAGCTGTTTGATAAACTAACTACGTACTAATATTATCTGCATATGTCAAACCAGGACATTGGACCTATGCTGCTAGTTTTTACAAGAAACAGCTTATTCTGGACCATTTGGTTGCAACCTATAAAAAGCCTATAGTGAGTTGATTAAGTCTCAAGTTGTTATGATATTTTATTAAGTACCCTAATATTATTGTAAAAACACTACAAGAAAAATCAATCAAAATTACCGAGGTTAAAATCCGTCGGTAAATAAGAAAATCTGTCTCCGCCTATTATGAGTAATTATCGACAGATTTTCTGTCAGAAATATTTTTATTATTTATTACATTATTTTTATAAAATATTTTTCTAGAGACATCCCTCCCCTTTCTTTATATTATATAATTATTATTTATTTCCTTTCTTTTATATTTTTAAAAATTTGAATTATAATTTAGATTAAGAAAATTGTGACTGAGGACTCAATAGGAGTTGGAGACTAATACTCCAACCACTAGGTTACCAGAATTTTTCAATTATAATTTACAATAAATTATATTTATATACAAATAAATATATAAATATAATATATTTTTATATTTTTATATTTATACATTTGTATATTTATATATTTGTATATTTTATATTTGTATATTTATATATTTGTATATTTATATATAATTAAATATTTATTTTTTAAAATTATTTAATTTAATAAATTAATCTAATTATGATTAAATTAATTTATTAAATAGAAAAAGTATTTAATTTTTTAATTAGGTGAATAATTAATTTATTAGAATATATTTAAAATTAAGTAATTATTATATAATTTTATCGACGGATATATCTATCGGTAAGTAATTGTTAATTTATCGATAGATTTACCGACAAATATATCCGTTGGAAATTAATTGTTAATTTACCGACGGATAATTATTAATTTATCGACGAATTTATCGACAGATATATCCATCGATAACTAATTATTAATTTAACGATTGATATATATATATGTTGATAAGACCAAATTTCACAAATATTTTATATCGATAATAACTAATTTTCTGATCGACGACAAATCCATTGGTAAAATTCCGTCGGAAATAAACAATTTTTTTATAGTGAAAGTACCTTTTTGTTAGCATATATATATATATATATATATATATATATATATATATATATATTAATTATTACATATTTATTGGGTGGTTTTGTTTGAACGGTTGTGGAATCAGGTGTCCCTGATCAATGGAGTAGTCATGGGAGGAGGAGCAGGTCTTTCCATTCCCACAAGGTTTAGGGTTGTGACAGAAAAAGCTGTAAGCTTCTCTTGACTTCCCAGAAGTGGAGTTATTAAAGATGAAAATTCTCATTCATTATCCAAAGAATGTTAAGCTCAAGTATAGAGCATGTATTCTTTTCAATATATGCTTGATAACCCTCTGGTGAATATTCCCAATAGCTTGGGTTTATTTTAAATCTTTATACATTTATCTTTTTCACTATTTTTATGTATCTCTGTTAGTATCATTTTCACAAAGTAAGTTTTTTTTTTTTTTTCACTTTTTCAAGAAAATCATTATTAAACATGAAAGAATACGCTTGTAAAAACAGAAATAGTATTAGTGTGTCGGTAATAACAATTCTACCAAAATATATATTGATTTTTATCTATTATTTGTAGGTATTTGCAATGCCAGAGGCATCCATAGGACTTTTTCCAGATGTGGGTTCCAATTACTTCCTTTCTAGGCTTCCTGGCTATTTTGGTAAGGTGGTTAAATGTGTAAGATGTGTTTTTTTTATCAGTTAAATAATATATATATATATATATATATATATATATATATATATATATATATAAATTTGGCTTAAAGTGTCCCAGTTTATTTAATGTAGAAATAACATGTTATAAAGTATGTTGTACAGGGTGAAAAATTATTTTTTCTTTTCCTCTTTTGCACTGATATTAATTTGCAATTTTATCCTTCTTGCTGAATTATATGCAGGGGAATACCTAGGGTTGACTGGAGCACGTTTGAATGGAGCAGAAATGGCAGCATGTGGTTTAGCCACACACTTTGTGCCTTCACTGGTAAAACTATATATTCATCACTACTTCCTCAGTACTTTGATAATAACTTTGACTGTAATTGGATTGATATTGTAATCGTTGAGAACTATCCTTTTTTATCTGCCACAGAAGCTGAAGTTGTTGGAAAACGCCTTAGAAGATCTTAGTTCTCCAAATGTTTCAACAATTACTGCACTAATAGAAACCTTTTCAGAGAAAGCAAACGTGAAAGAAGACAGCACTTTTAGAAGGTAAATCACTTCTCTTGAGATTTTATGTTTTCTGAGAATTCAAACACCTATATACTGAATTATGGTTTTCACGTTTATACCAAACAAAGACTAGAAGTTATTAACAGATGTTTCTCAAAAGGAACGGTGGAGGAAATTATTCAATCGTTGGTAAGTATATCAGTGCGTAATGATCATTTCTCTTTTGCTGTTCTGATAATATGCTTAATGTATAATGTCGTTTTCAATAATATAATCATGTTTTTAGGAACAGGAATTGCAAAATGGAGCTGAAAAATGGATTACAAATGCATTAAGCTACATGCGTTCATCTTGTCCTACAAGCCTCAAGATATTTCTGAAATCAGTAAGTACAACTGGGATAAAAAATTAACCAAAATTGTCCATAAAAGAATTGCTTTTCAAGTGAAGATACACTAATTTGATAACTTGTTGACAAATTTTATAGAAAGAACTAAATAAAAAAAAAATATTTTTATTGATATCAAAATAGCCAAAAGATCCTAGAGTATTGAACTCATTTACATTTTCTTTCACAATATATATACACTATTTTGTTAAAAATTTTTGCAATGTTAATGAGATTGATTTTGATGGTTGGTGGGTCTTAGATCAGGAGAGGCCGGGTTCAAAAATTTGAGGAATGTCTTTATCGAGACTATAACATTGCCTGCCACTTCTTCAGAGGAACTTTTGGCTATGATTTCTATGAGGTAGCTATTTCAGTCTCCATTTATGAAACTCCATTAGAACCCTCTGTAGGATAGAGATTAGTTTTTATGTTCTAATAATTCTCTTGAATCTCTTGAACTGAAAAGGGTTCGAGAGCAAAGTTATTCCACAAAGACAACAAGCCCAAGGTACAAGACAGTAACTTATGTTCCATTTCTATGGATATATATTGCTGTGAAAAATTCTTTTAAACCAGAATTTTCTTTTCTGATTTATTTATAGTGGGAGCCTTCGAAACTAGAGCTTGTTGATGAAGAAATGGTGGATGAATACTTCAGTAACCTCAATGATGAGGAATGGGAATTTCTTCGATTTCCTGATAGATCCAATTCCCAAATTGTATGCAGATTGTAGATTGAAGCTACAAGGTTTAATTCAGCTCATTCATGGTGGTTATCCTTAAGAACTATGCATGTAATTTATGAACAAAGTTGAGTGTTAGAATGTAGTTTTCATATAATAGTGTGTTGATGTTTTGCATATGATAGGTATTGTTGATTTGTAGTATAATTATATAAAAAAAAATGGTTTAAATCATCAAATATAATTTTGTTTTAAATATAAGTCAATTAATGAATATTTGACTGGATATTGTCACATAAAAAAATATAATAATATATTTGAGATGTTAGTTATTTATGTGTATAATTAATAAATTATTTTTTTAAAATAATTGTTATCCACATGAGTGTTTGACTGCATAACTTAAGTATTAATTATGCAACTAAAATTCAAACCATTTTTATTAGCAATATACTAAAAACAGAAAATGATAATATAAATTACAAAAAAGAACATATTTTGTCCAAAAAAAATATTTTATATTATACGCTTATGAGAATAATCATTATTAAATTAATAAACTATCATATGGTGATTTGCAATATTTACAAAGCAGGTTTATAATATTTATTTTATCTTATTCTCTATTACAATATATATTTTTTTCATTTATTTTCCCGGATAAATAATTAAAATATTTGATTGTTGACTGTACCAGAAAACTTCAATTACTAGATGAAGATGAAGGGTATCAAATTCAATAAGTCGTGGTGTCTTTATTGACGGATATTACGATTTTGTTGTGATCAATCACATCATGTGTGATTCTCGAACAAGATAATTAACTATGGAATTTCATGTTCTTTTATACCATTGATTTGTTGTTTTCTTCATAAAGTTTCTGCGTTGTCTCTCTTAAAATTTCCTCATATTAATATCAGAGTTAGGTTCATTCGGTATTTGTCTCAATCAAGTATAATACAAAATAAATAATAAAGTCTACTTTCATAATCTTTTATTGAGAATCATCGTAACAAAACATGCCTGTGTTTCATGAGATGGTCCAGTATTATATTTATTATAATATTATTATTAGAAACAATTTTTATATATTTGATATATTCATAAATTTTATATTATTTTAATATAAAAAAATAATTTATATATATATATATATATTTTTTTTTCTCAATCTATTATTATATCTTTTAAAATTATAACTAGAACGACTAAAAATTTAAAACCGACAATATTTTACTATTTACCTAATAATATCATTGTAACAATTACCATATCACATGATTCACCTAACAATCCCATTATAACAACTATCCGTGAAGAAATTTCTTAATGTGCACGCAATGCATCTATCTAGTTTGATGAAATAAGAACAATCTAAGCCTATATCACTAAATAGTGGTGAGGACTGAGGGAATTAGCAGAAAACACGTCACGTATCTCTGAAACTGACGTTGAATTTGCATTAAGTTCAGAGTATATATGATTCACATGTGTGTTTGTGATTGACGAGAACAAGTTGTTTTCATTCCTGTTATATTATATATAGAGAGAAGTTCTTGTGTTATGCATGCATGCATCTGTTTCCTTCAAAACCTTTTCATCACAGGACCATCCATCAACATATAATGGCTCTCAGTTTCACCTTTCAGAAAGAACCAAACCAGGTTTTTTACATTCTACCATTTCATTTTTTTCTTTTTATCCTTTATATTTTCTTATGGTTTGAGATGTTCTTCCTTAAAGGTTCTTTTCACTGGAAATTCTTGTGTAAGAACAGTGATTTTGAACAGAATCCAGAAGCTGAATATCCTTAATTATGAAATGGTAAGTTTTTATCTTTCTATTCCTAATTATGTAATAAGTGATTATATATTGGAAAAACTTTTGTTTTCGTTGTTTAATTGATATATTTTCTTTCACTATACGCAGCTTAGTCAAATAAAAAAGAATTTAGAAATGTATGAGAATGACCCTTTGGTGAAACTTGTGATATTGAAGGTAAATATCTTTTCCTTCGATTTGGGGTAAAATTATATATAACTAATAATTATTTTTCATCTAATGGATCGATTAATCAATAATCTTTCTCCTTTAATAATTTTAACTAATAGGCTAATGGAAAAGCCTTTTGTGCTGGTGGTGATGTTGTGTCAGTAATCGTGTGTTCACTTGCAGGTAATTTTGCTTTTATTGATACCCAAAACTTGTTCAATTTTTGTTAATTATATTAATTAATTTGTAATTTATTATTATAATATTTGTGGGGAGTAATTTATTAGAATAACATGCATACGTTGATATTGTACATGAAAGCAGGACACTGGACCTATAATTCCATCTTCTACAAGAAACTGCTTAGTTTAGAGTATTTTATAGCAACCTACGCAAAACCTACGGTGAGTTCATTAAACTTATAATTAATATTGGTTATTTTACCATCCAAAATTATCAAATATCATTCTATTCTTTACAATCATTATATATTTAATCTTTATTTTTATAATTTTAAGGTTTAAAATAATTATGATAGTATTATAGAAAAAAATGATAGCATTATAATTTTAGGGTTATAATTAATGTAACATTTCTTTCCTATCAACATAAAAAAAGAAATTACGAGAAAATGTAGATTTAAATTGCATATGTTTGGAAATCAGGTGTCTCTAATCAATGGATTAGTGATGGGAGGTGGAGCAGGTCTATCCATAAACACGAAGTTTAGGGTTGTGACTGAAAAAGCTGTATGACTTCACTTCTTAGAAGTAGATTTACATTTTTAAATGTTTTTTATTTTATTTTAAAATATTCTCAGTATTGAAAATAATTAATTTTGTTTATAGATATTTGCAATGCCAGAGGCATCCATTGGACTCTTTCCAGATGTTGGGGCATCCTTCTTCCTTTCTAGACTACCTGGCTCTTTTGGTAACTAAATACGCCCTTTAATTAATTTTATTATTATTATTATTATTATTATTATTATTATTATTATTATTATTATTATTATTATTATTATTATATTAAAAGTGGGGCATGTATGTATAATGTATTTCTTCAATATTATATTAGACTTATCAGCACAGACATTATTAAAAAAATTTAATGGTTGAATTTATATATATTTTAAAATTAGTAAAATTTTTATCTTCATGTTATTTCAACGAATTAACGGATAAATTTTTGTGATTGATTTTTTTAATATTAACATATTTATACTAAATTAATTAATTAAAAAATATTTAAATAAACATATTTTTTTAATTAAATTTTATTAATAAAATTAACTTTTATTTAACATATAATAATTTAATATATAAACTATAAGAAAATATATTCATTCGATATTAAAATAAGAATTACAAACTTACTCATTATTATTATTTATTTTTTAATAATTTATTAATTTAAAATAATAATAATTTTTAATCATTATATATTAAAGTAGAACGGTCAAAATGGGCGGTTCAGCCTAATCTAACCTTATGAGTCAAATAAAAAAATCTAATAGTTTAGTCTAACCTATATTTTAAAATCGACCAAATATTTTTGTCTAATTAGACTCTATGTTAAGCTAACGAGACTAATAAAATATTTTTTGCCTACTTAAAAATAAATTTTTTTTATTTATATAATTTTTTTTAATTTTGTTAAAAAAATATGTTATTTATTTGTTTATTTAAAATTAATTCATAACCTATTTAGACAAAATAAAGTCAAATGTATAAAAAAATCATAAAAATGAGTTGTTCCACTCATGTAACCTTAAAGAATTACAATTGTCAATATATCGGAGTCAAACATATCCTACCAAAAATATTAGATAACACATTTTCTAATTTTTTATTTTCACTTAAATATCCGCTATAAATCTCTTTAATTGAAGTGTTTAGTAATTGATTTAAAATATCCTACTAGAAATATTAGATAACTCATATTTTATTTTTTATTTTTTTAAAATACACGTTATAAACATCTGTAATTGAAATATTTCTAATAATAATTTGTTTTAAATCATAATTCAAAAATTTATTTATCTCTCAAACTCCTCATAGCCAACATAGCTAAATTGAATATTATGCTTAATAATGCATGTAACAAGTGTATCTCAAGTAAATTTTATAATCAAATTTTCATTACTTCAACAAACTAGTTTTATTATTCAACATAACTCCTATGTTATGATACTTTGGAAATATACTATATTTAAGAATATGTCATTTTAAGTTATTGGTCCTAAAAGTAAATATGACGACAACAACAAAGAGAAATGAAGAAGATGACAAAAACAAATGAAGATTATGTTTAAAATTTATTATTCTTTCTAAATTTTATATATACATACATATATATATATATATATATATATATATATATATATATAACAAAATATATTATCAAAATAATTTATTACACATATATTTTCTAATAAAATAATATTACTTTTATTTTATTGATAAAATAATTATTATTTTATAAAATAGGTTAGCCTATAAGCCTACGGACTATTATGGCCTAAGCCAATTTAGGCCTAACCTAAATATGTCAGGTCAACATTTATTTGGTTCTATTTAGGTCATAAATTTTTTAGCTCAATCTAACCTATTTTTCGGATATTTGGAACTGACTCATCAAACTAAGCTTATTTTGACACCTCTATCTTGAAGTAAGTGATTTTTAGAGATTTATTCTAATATTTATTTTTAGAATAGGTAAATCTCTTATCAATTTAATTTATAATACATATATATTTTTTAATAAAATAATATTAATTATTTTATTTTTATTTAAAAGATAATTATTATTCTATAAAACCAATCAATCCATAATTCTACATACTAATTTGACCTAAACCCATATAAATCATGATTTAAATAGGTTAGACCAAAATAAACCTAATTTAATTTGGTCATAATTTTTTTTTAACTTTGACTTGTTTTTCAAATCTTTCAAATTAGTTCATTGGTTATATCTATTTTGACATCTTTAAATTATGGTATCCCAATTTTATATTCACTGTGACAAGATCATTAAAATATATTTGATATATTATCTATTTTTGAAATATATATATATATATATATATATATATATATATATATATATATTAATTAATCTTGGTATATTTGCTTGGTTTTGTAGGTGAGTACATTGGGCTGACTGGTGCACGGTTAGATGGAGCAGAAATGGTAGCATGTGGTTTAGCTACTCATTTTGTGAATTCAATGGTAAAAACTGAATATTTCTTGTGTTGTTTTGAAGGATATATTATTAGCCGATTGAATTGACAATTTTGTTTCATTATTTTCTGAGTAAAAGAAGCTAAATTCACTAGAAAATGTCCTACAAACTGTTACTTCGGATGTATCAATGGCGACAGTTATAGAAACATTCACAGACAAAGCAAATCTGAAGAAAGAGAGTTCATTAAGAAGGTAAATAACGATGATTAAATCATAATCAACCTCTCATTTCTGCACTTTAACACTTCACACAAATCATATAAATTGACCACTAATTAATTCTGATCAATTGTCCCAAAAAAAAAAAAAAAAAAAAACAGATTGGAGGCTATAAACAAATGTTTCTCAAAAGGGACAGTGGAGGAAATTATTATATGCTTGGTAAGTATACATATTAATTATTAAGGTGTGAAAAAACATTTTATTACTTTTCCCTTTTTTTTTTATTAATTTGTGAAGTCCTACGCTGTGTGCAAAAACATTTGAATCATATACAGGAAAAGGAATTAGAAAATGGAGCAGAAGAGTGGATAAAAAATGCATTAAGTTCCATGCGATCGTCTTCTCCCTTGAGCCTCAAAATATTTCTGAAATCAGTACGTATGATCAGAAGCAAAATAAAATTAATTTTCTTAATGCAAATAAACATTAACTATGTATATATAATAAATCAATGAAAAACCTTGTAATTTTTTTTTTTTTTGCATAATTAGATCAGAACAGGTCGTGTTCAAAATATTGAACAATGCCTTTACAGGGATTACACCATTGGTGCCCACATCCTCAGAAGAACCGTTAGCAATGATTTCTATGAGGTGATTAATGTTTTTAACATTTTTTTCTGATTTTCTTTACAAAATATCTCTCTCCAAATTAACCTTGTGTTTATTAATTTTGTATGTTTTAGGGTTCTAGAGCAAAGCTGTTTGACAAAGACAACAAGCCGAAGGTAAGAGTAACTATCTTATCTTCTGTTTACATAGATTTATTCATATGATTATGATGTATTAATGATTTTTCTGTTTCACTTTACAAATTAGTGGGAACCTTCAAAGTTAGAGTTGGTGAGCGATGAAATGGTGGATCAGTGCTTCAGAAACGTCAACGACGCGGATTTGGACTGTCTGAAACTTGCTCATCATAGGTCCAATTCTCAGATTGCCAGCAGATTGTAGACACGACATTTTAGCTCATTGTGTTTTGAGAATTTTAAGAATAATTTGTTGACGTTCAAGTTGAGAACATGTTTTCATTTTTCTTTTTTCAATTTTCATAAATAATTACGCAAATGTAACACATTTTGAATATTTATATGGGAAACATGGAAGAGTGTGGTTTTATTATTATTTTCGTTGTTTTCCGTACTGGTGGTTAAAACATGAAAAATATGTTAAGCTCAAGTATATGCATGTAAACAACAAAAATAATGAAAACATGTAGAAACATTAAAAATAAAAATGTTCTGTTAATGATTTAATAATGGGTCAAGCTAGCTAAGCCGTCACAGCCATATTATTTTTTATTCACTTATAAGAGTTCAATTATACAAATTATTTTTTATTCACTTATTTCAAGTATTTTTTTTAACTTAGGCATGGATGATTAATTTTTAGTTCACAAATAATTTTATTTTTCTCTATTAAAGATATTTATAAAAAAAAACATATTAATTGATGAAAACAACGTCAACCCGATAGAGTGATAAGGTTTGAAAATTCTTTCTCTTATTACATCCTTTTACTTTTCTTTCATCTATATTTTCTTCATTCTCATCCACTTTCTCCCTGGCTTTATCTGAATCAATAAAAAAAATAAAATTTGATGACTGATAAGAGATAATGATAAAATCATCGACTAAATATATCTTAATATTACCCTCCATGCTTCTCCAACTTAATCAGAAATTTAATTTATTTTTAATATTATATATTTTGTTATAATTTAAAGAATAGGAATATGTATAAAAATATATGCTGCTTAGAATATAGGAATGTTATGTACAAGTGAAAATTTAAATATAAAAACAAAATCGCATTTAATTATATATGAAATCGTTTGCAACTTTATTACAATTACAAGCACAAACAAATAAATTAAATAATTCTTTTAAAAAACTGAACACATACTACATCAATTATAGAAAATTCGATGTAAAGAGTACGTATATTATATCAATTGTAGAGATAATCGATAAAAGTTTATACTTAATTTAATTTAAAAAATTGAAATATGTTATATCAATTAATAAGATGATTGATGTACTGTATCTTCCGTTACAATTTTTATATCAATTATATCTATATTGATTCTATGAGTGAAGTAAAATAGATGAAATAAGATATAGAAAATATTGCTTTTAGTAGTGCAACCAAGTATTGTCCTGAAAACCATAACCATTGTACATTTAATGCCTTTTAACTGTATACGGTCATGCTTAACACTTGGCTTGGAAAGATTCTTATCATGCAACCACATGTTCTTGCCAACTACTTTGAAGTGATTCCAAACAGAACTTTACCTTCCTCTTGTCCTTTTATAGTGTTTCTGAATTTGAATTTGAATTTTCATTTATATCAATCAAAGGACAAAACTTCACGCTACCGTTAATCTTCAAGATGAGTTGAGGAACTATTAATCTGTAAAATGGTGCTTATAGTACAAAATCTAAATTACTATTTTTTAATGGATTTTAATATAGTAACAAACAAATGGTTTGCAGAGTAGAGAAAAATGTTGAAAAAACACAAACCCTATAAATAATTGAAGTCTATACTTATGTTCCACAAATTGATAGGTACTTCTTTCAACCACACGATATATTATTGAAGAAAGACAAAAGGGAGAATTTCTTACATTAATTTCTGCAGAAAAACATAAAAGAGAAATTGTTGACATAATGGTCTAATGTGACAACCCTATGTTTGTCCGTATAAAGATAAACACAACTCAACAGAAAAATCAACTTTCCAATAATATTTGTCAAGTATCATTTGTTTATTGTGGTCCATTTTTACGAACACAATAAAGAGATTCTAGTTTGTATACGTAGCTAGTGTTAGTGTTGTAGGTTAGGAATCAGAATAACTAGATGACAAGTCAACTAAAAATAAAATAAAAGATAATTTACATTCGATTTGAAACTTAATATTCATACTTAAACTCTAACCATATCAAGTATAGTATATCAGAGAGCAGAAAATAGAAATCGTATATTAGATGGTTTCAGTTGGAAAACTTGCATGAAGCATACATTATAACTTACGCTAAAACATTATAACTAGAAGCCATTACCATTCATAATCCCCTCTTGCAAAAGTTGAAATTATATGAAAACCTCAATTGGGTCTAAAATAGCTGGGACAATCATAAGCCGAGCAAAACGTTTGAAGAGCCGTCATGGCCAAAAGAACAAAGGTGGCAAGAAGTGTGAAGAGCTTCCATGACTTGTAAACAGAATCTGTCAAGATCCAGTAGAGGTTGGCCTTCCTCTTATCATGGTAGTAGTTGTTCACTTTCTTAATGGTCTTATCTAACTTGTCAGTCTTGGTGGGTCCAATAGATTTGCTCATTCCATTGAACAGTTCCTCAGTTTCTTCCACACTGAGAGAGCTACTTGACTCAATGATCCCTGCATTCTTGAGCAGCTTCACATCCTCCACAGTGTCTATGATTCCCCTCATCAGTTCTGTGTACCTTGTGAATATGAGAAAATCTGGTTTGGTCAAGGCCTCATGAGCCACAAGGTTTCTCATTATCACTTCAGAGTTCACATCCAATCTGAGCACCGGGAGGTAAAATATGCCCATCTTTTCGTCAAATTCAATAGCCATGTTGCCACCTTCCAAGGGTTGGAAATACACCCCAACTGAATGAAGCTCTCGCACACAAGGGATGTTGACAACCGTAGGAACTTCTTCTTCTTTTTCAGAAAGTTTTGGATGCGATGAAAGACTTTCAAGGTGAGAGGACACTTTTAGTATTGGCTGTAGGTTCTGTTTAATGGGTTTCACAAGAGGAATATTCACGTCCTTCAACTTTTTTAGAGAGTCTAGGATCCATGTTATTACACCTTTAACTTTCTTAAAGTAAGTTGTTTTGCTTTCAGATATTGAGCTTTTCTGAAGTATAGAAGTACCTGTGGTAGAGTCAATATTACCACGAAAAATTATTAGCAGGTAACATTACCGTGTCTATGATTATAACCAATTACTAGCTAACTATATAATATATATTTAAGTTGTTCAATTTTTACAACAAAAAATAACTAGCATCACTTATGTTATGTGAAGATTAATAGAGACCATAATAATTTTGAGTTATCTTATAATTTTTCTATTATGGCAGAGTTTACACACACCTTCGATTTGATCAGGTATTGGTGTTTCAGACTTTTCAGCGTGAGAAACCACCAAATGGTACATGAGATCCAAGACATGGTAATGCTCAGAGACAGCTTCAGAACATGTGGGGGAGTGCGTTAACTCAAGTGGAGAGTGTTTCTGACAGAATGACAAGAGCATCGAACCCAAGTACTCTTGAACTAAATCAGCAGGTTTGGAGCTTTGAAGGACCAAGATCCTCAACAACACGTAGGTTGGAATTTGGTTTTCCACCATGATGATGTCCCTTATGATGGCGTCCTTGGTAAGCTTCACACCACTTAGCTGAACCTGGTATTCTAATCCTGTCATGAAAGAGCCAGATACTTCCTCATTGAGATAGTTGTGGAAGAAATCCAACAAGAACAAACCATCAATGGCTATGGTGTATAACAAGGTTTCTTCCTTGAGGTCCAAGTATTTGTGGTAACTAGCACGGATGAAGGGTCCTGTGCTATGGAGTTGCGCAACTAGTTGTTTGAGGTCGTATTTTTTGAAGTGGTTGAGGACCCCTTTGGCAGCAAAAACTTTGAACCTTTCCATGGGATAGAGCTCAGGACGAAAGTGAGTATATGGACCAATGGCTATAAGTTGAGGAGCAAAGGCTTCCGGCTTGGCAGAGCTCAAAGATTTGGGAACTTGGTATATGCAAACAGGCATTTTGTTCAAGATTGACAGGTTGGTTTCACTCACCAATTGGTTGATTTGAATGACCCAATTGTCTTCATCGGATTCTGAATTGAAGATAGATAGAGAGGCCATCTGGGATTTTGCTTAATTTGCTTGATGAGTATGCTATATATATGCAATACGTGTATGTATCTTGATTAACTCTTCTGGCTTATTGACACCAGAAATCTTTGGTTTATTTATGACACAATAAAATATATATGCACGTATCAAGTAGAGAGATAAAAATGAGAAGTGTGTGTGAAAGAATGATTAATAAAGATGGTATGAGAAGATGAATAATATAAAAATAGTGTTTTGAAAAGTTAACTCTTTCTAAAAGATTGGCAAGGATGAACAACGCACTAGAACTGATTGTGACAGACAACATAATTTAAAGCTTCTGATACGGTTATCTATGATTATAAACCACATATTAATTTACAAGGAGCCAAAAGTTGGTTATGATTTCTTGAATAATTCTTGTGTTGTTTTGTTTTTAATTAAAATAAATGTTTTCAAATTAGTTTTTATAATGGGAATTTGTAAGCTGAAAGTCAAGTTTTAATTAAAAAACAATTCCGAAAATATCTGAGAGTACTTCTCACACAGAACTACTTTTAAGTCTCGCACATTATGGTCATGTACAGTCCACGTAAATGCAGTTAATATCAAGATTTTTGTCTCTCTTTTAAGCTTGCGTACCTGCTATTTTTTGAGGCCATGAGAAATTTCTAAAACATGTGGTTTAACGGTACTACTTTTAAGTCTTGGCTACCCAGGTCTTCCACGTTATGATCATGTGATCACCAAGTAGATGCAATTAATGTGATGAAAGTCACTGATATGAATCAATGGAAGCTGAAACTTCCAATTTTCTTTATCTCCCTTGATTACTTAAAATTGTAATAACAACCAGAGAAAGGAACTTTCTCAGTAAACTACAATTTCTTCCTTTGCTTCTCTCTTCTTCTTTTGATTATGAGTTTCATAAATATTTTCTATTCTCCTTCACTCCTACTACTCTCTCTCTCTCTCTCTCTCTCTCTCTCTCTCTCTCTCTCTCTCTCTCTCGATCTAGCTAGAATTTATATTTATGACGCCAAATCTGATTCGAAGCCACTACATTTGGTTTTTCTCATGTTCGAGTTCATATTAGAGTCTGAACCCAAATACTTCAATATCTAAATATATATGCACAAACGCCATTTCTAAGGGACCCTCTAAGAACAGGTGATGAGACCTGATAATTAAGAAGACTCGTGGTGCGAGGTGAAGCGATGACAGGATGTGATGTAGTGCATGTGTGGTGGGTGAAGAAAGTGTTGAAATGGAAATAGGGTTTATACAAGAAGATAAGAATTCTGTGAAGGGAATAAAAAAAAGAAAATTACACTTTGGGAGGTTGCAATGTGTGTATTAGGGTTATTGTTGGCTGCATTATTTGCTACTTACTACTTAAAAAATGTACTCAGTTTTGTGGAATTTTTTACATCAATTCTTAAATTGTGAATTCAAATGGTTAAATAAAATTGCATCACTCATATTTAATAGTAATTCTTGGAATACAAGTGAAAAAAAAAACATATAAAATTATTGTTTTTAAGGTTTTAAGTATACTATTAAACTTTATATATATATATATATATATATATATATATATATATATATATATAATTGACTAATGATTCATTGAGGAAGAAAAATCTATTAATTGTTTCTTTTCCTTAAATTTTCCAACGATGATGTTTTAGTCTGAAATCCATGAATTATTTAATTTAGAAACATTTATTTAATAATAATAATTTATATAAAGTAAGTACCATGGTGTTTCTTTCACAACGAGCAGACTCACGATACAAATGTGTTACACGTGGTGACGTGGTACATTTTTAAAATGCATATCTAATAGAAATATGGGAAATTCTTAATTATATATATATATATATATATATATAATATTTCATTTTAATTACTAGATAGTAAAAATAAAATAAAAATATTAATTTAAATTATTTAAAAAATAATATATCAATAGTTAATATTTACCGATAAAAAATAATTAATAATATTAGAACTCTCCAAAACACCATCTTTGCATTTGTTTTTGCTTACGGGTATTATTCCTTAAATAGATTTTCGTTTGCTTAAAATAAGAACAACAAAGGGAAGAAAGTAAAATAAAAAGATAATGAAAAATTTAAAATATAATTTAGATTTTAGTTTATGAAATTTGGGGTTAATTCTGTTTTAATCCCTTAAGTTTAAAAGAATAATTAATTTGTTTCTCAAATTTGAAAGATGCAGTTTTTATGTGTAAATATTAAATTTAAAAGACAAATTTGATTTAAAAAAAAACAACTTTAATTTTTAAAGAGTAAATTTCAAGATTCTGAAACTTCTTTTTTTTTTCACGGAAAGGTATTATTTTTTAAATTGAGTTTAGAAAATAAAAGGACGAGTCCGTAATTAAATAACATAAGGGTATACATTAATTTTATATATCTTCATTCTTGTAGATTGCTTAACAAAGTTTACTCTGAATTCAATTTTCAGTTTTCAATTTAAACTATCATTTTGGATTGGTTAAAGTTGCATACTAGATTCCCTGTCCTTCACTTAATTTTGTTTTACTAGTATAAATTCTTAAATTGTTCCTAATCGAATTTTACCTACCCAATTTATTAAGAGCCTACACTAAGAGTATAATATTTGAATTCTAAATTGTAGTTCCTTTGTGCTTTTTGGCTTGGAAGGAAAATGATGAAATTGGACATGCCAGAAGAGGGCAATGGAATCAAAATCTGTTTAGAAAACTGAGAAACCTTCAGGCATGTGTCACTAATTATAAGATGTAATGTTTTCTGGTTGAACACACTACCGCTAACTGTTAAAGTTATTGAACTAGACTTATTATGTTGCAGAATTCAAAAATCTTGAGACTCTTGATTCTCAGAAGTTCCAAGAACATAAGACAAATGCCATACAGTTTTGTTTCTCAAATTAGAAAGAATTGTGTGTTTGTCAATGCACAAATTAGCTTGAGATTCGTGATTCTGTTTGATCTTTACATAACCTTCAAAGGTTTTGTGCTAAAGGATGTACCAAGCTCATGATTGGTCTTGTTATATATGTTTCGAGAAATATTGGCACCAAACTAAAATTTGTTGAGTTGGACGGAACTGCAATAAAAAATCTATCACTTTCAATGCAAAATGCAAAAAATACTCTTTCTAATCTATACTCTCTCTTAGTATTTATCTTTTAGTGGCTGAGATCCCCATAAATTTCACTGTGTTAAAGAAGTTGTTGCACAGTGTGATGCCAGAGCATCCTTGGTGTTTCCAATCTCGCAATGACAGACAATTGGTTCTTCTGCAGAAACACTTCAATGCTCAACAAGGTCAACGGATCCTAGAATGGTTTGATCACTCTATGCTTCTGATTTCGTAATAAATTACCATCTTTCACTGTGTGTGCTGTTTCAGAAGTTTGTGATAATATCAAGGTTCCTTTGTCAATGAATTAATTCATTTCGTTAGAATCAATGATGTTGACATTTGTGTTTTTTCTGTCCATTTTGGAAATAATGTAAACTGGTGGCTTGCTTTGCTGAGAATGACCACATATTTATGATCAATCTTGAATGCCATTTTCACCATCCAATGCAGACTTAACACGAATGGATGGAATTAATCAAATGGATTGAGTTTATGTAAATAGGTCATATAATGGTGGATGTTCGATTCACAAAAGTTAATCCTCCCAATAATACAAGTGATGTGGGAAATCATATTGTGTAGCTTTCTGTTGTTCATCATGTACAAAACAATCAATCATTAGCTTTATGAACCCCACAATTAGGCTCTGAAATTCAGGAACAAACTTTGAACTAAGTCTCTACCAATTTAGATTCACAACAATTCACACTACAACAAAATACTGAAATTAACACGGTCAAAATCTATCAGTAAATGTTTTACAAAATTATTTTATAGTCTATTAAATAGAGAGATACAACCAAAAGATTAATTGAAAGTAACAGAATAAATAGAAATGTAATCAATTCTAGGATCCCGTAAAGATTTAGTAAAAATATCTGCTAACTGACTCAGTTTTGATGTCTTCAGACATAATCTTTTCTCGAATGAAATGATAGTCAATCTCAATGTATTTTGTCCTCTCATGAAAGAGAGGATTAGAACTAATATGAAGAGATGAGAGGATTAGAACTAATGGTAGAAACTAATACTCCAACCACTAAGCTACTAAGATTTTCTGATAATAATTTATAAATAAATTATATTTATATACAAATAAATGTATATCAGTGTAAATATATAAATAAAATATATTTTTATATTTATATATTTTGATATAATTATATATTTATATAGTTATATATTTACATATTTATATGTTGATGTGAGAATGCATTTGATGGTGAAAATGTGTGTCGAGTGGGTTTTCAAAATTTGATATCAAATTTGTGAGCGAGTCTCTTTATATGGGTTTGTAATTTACTGATAAAATATAACTTTTATAATTTATTTATATAATGATATAAAATAATTTTTTTCTTTATTTATTTTTATTTTATTCTTTTTATCTTTTTTGCTTCAATTATTTAATTGAAATTCTTATATTAAAATAATTTTTTCAAATATTAAAAAATAATTAAATAATTATTTTTAAAATTATTTTATTTAATAAATTATTATAAATTAATCAATTGATTAATTTATAATAATCTATGTAAGGAAAAAATTGTTCTATTAATTAGATTAAATTTGGTATCAAATTTTGAAGATCCACTCGACACACACTTTCACCCTCGAATGCGCCCTCACATCCAACATATAAATATATAACTATATAAATATATAAATATATCAAAATATATAAATATATTTGTATTTATATATTTTATATTTATATATTTACACATATATACATTTATTTGTATATAAATATAATTTATTTATAAGTTATTATTAGAAAATCCTAGTAGTTTAGTGGTTGGAGTATCGACCTATGACTCTAAAGTATTGGGTTCGAATCCTGCAGGTGACAATTCTCTTAATACAATATAATAAATAATAAAAATATAATATAAAGGGGAGGGGGACTTCTAGATAAATAGAGGAGGATAGAGGGGATTATAAAAAAATAAAAAATTCAAACTTTTTACATCGGTTCTTCTTATAATAGGGATGGCAATCAAACCCGTCCCCGCCCCGACTTTATATTTAAACCTAAATTCTAAAATATTAACTTTTTGTCTGTTTGTCTTCTTTTCTTTTTTTTAATGTTAATTATATTTAAATTTAAATCCTGATATATAACCCTCTGTCTTTTCATATTACCCTTAGTCTTTTCACATTATTACTCTTAGTTTTTTCACATTACCCTTTTTGTCTTCTTATAATACCCTTTATCTTCTCATTAGTGTGTTCCTTTCCTTCACTTTACTTCCATTTATTCTTAATTTCTTTGTCTTTTTGAATCTCTTTTCACAACTAGTCTTAGTTCAACTCACATTTGGCTTCTCCTATCTCTTTACTAGTTTGAGTTATCTGATCAACTTCTCCAGTATTTTCAACCGAGTTTATCGAACGCATAAGGTAATTTTTTGTTTATTTATCTTTTTCTAAATATGTACATCAATGTATCATTTTATTTCTAATTTGGTTTTATTAGGTTTTTGTTATATCATGTTTTTCGGGTTTACTATTCTTATTTATCATATATAATATCTTATGTTAATTAAATAATTATATTTTTTTATCTTTTATGATCAATTTAAGTCTTATTTTAGAAGAAATAAACAGAAGATTTTTTATCTTTAGGCAATCAATAATACATGTCTTGTTTATGGTGGTAGGGATTTTTTTTATATACAATGGAAAATAATGAAACAACACAAGCAAGTATGCATGAATCATTGTTAAAAGAAAATTATAACCTTTAAGGTCCTACTCCTACACCAAATGAAGTCCCACCAGTAACTAGAGATAATGAGCATGATGAGACTATATCATTAGGATCAAATTGGCTTAAAAGTAAGATTTGGCAACATTTTCAAAAGATTCAAGTTAATGGAGAGGACAAGGCTAAGTGCAATTATTGTAAGAAACTTTTGGGAGGAAAATAAAAAAATGGGACGAAACACCTATGGCAACACAATGATAATTGTATTCAATTCAAGATTTCTACTAGAGGGAACAAAGGGCAAATATTTCTTACCCCTAAAGTTATGCAAGGTAAACAAGAGTTGGGTACAAGAATTTATGATGCAGAACATGTAAGAAAAGAACTTGCACATGCAATTATTATGCATGAATATCCACTTTCAATTGTAGATCATATTGGTTTCAAAAGATACTCATATGCTCTCCAACCAGTATTTCAAGTTCCTTCTAGAAACACTATTAAAAAGGAAATATTCAAAGTCTACAAGTCTGAGAAATCAATAATTTTGAAGTCATTGGATAGCCTTGAAGGAAGAGTGACTATAACATCAGACATGTGGACTTCAGGTAATCAACAAAGAGGATATATGACTGTCACTACTCATTATATTGATGATTCTTGGAACTTACAGAGTCACATTTTAAGGTAACAAATCACTTTCCTAGTCATATTTTATATTATTTTTATTTTATTTTCTTATGGTAAAATGATTGAATATTGATTAAATTTATGTGAATATTATTATTTTAGGTTCATTTATGTTCCAACTCCTCACACAAGTGATAGACTTTGCAATGCATTAGTTGAATGTTTGATGGATTGGAATATTGATACAAAATTATCCACTATCACCCTTGATAATTATATTACAAACGATGTTATGGTTGAAAAAATTAAGGGTAAATTGCAAATTAACACTTTATTAAGAGATGGAGATTTACTTCACATGCGTTGTTGTGCTCATATATTAAATTTGATAGTCAAAGATGGGCTAGAGGTAGTGAAAGATGAGATTGAAAAAATTCGGGGTAGTGTAGCATATTGGTCTGCAACACCTAAGAGGAAAGAAAAGTTTGAAGAAACAGCAAAGCAATTGCGCATCTCTTGTACTTGGAGCTTGATTTTAGATTGTCCAACAAGATGGAATTCAACATACAAAATGCTTGAAATTTCCATAATATATGAAGATGTGTTTAATCGATTGAAGCAACGAGATTCTCAGTATACTTGTTTGCCAACTAGTTTATAATGACAGTTAATTTGTGAAAGGTTGAAATTGTTCAATTTTATAACAGAATTATTTTCTGCTACTAAACATCGAACTGTTAATTTGTATTTTCCCAATATATGTGAGATTAAATTGACATTGACTGAGTGGATTGCATCTCCAAATGAAGTGATTAAAAAAATGTCTGAGAACATGTTGTTCAAATTTGATAAGTATTGGAATGTGATTCATGCTATTATGAGAGTCGCTACTGTTTTGGATCCTAGATACAAGATGGAGTTACTTGAATATTATTATGAAAAGTTGTATGGTCATGAATACTTTTTGCAAGTTAGGATGATTCGTCAATTATGTTATGACTTGATTTCTGAGTATCAAACAAAAATGAATAAAGACACATGTGGTGAGTCTCCAACAAAGGATGGTACTAATGTTGCTGGTGATGCATTAACTGAGTATGACAGGTATATTTTGAGAAAAAAAGGGCAAGAAATACATATGTTAAAACAGAGTTAGACCATTATTTAGAAGAAGAAGTTTTACCAAGAAAAACTGATTTTGATATTCTAATGTGGTGGAAGTTGAATGGAGATACCCAACAATTCAAGCAATTGCTAAAGATGTATTAGCTATCCCTATCTCCACTGTAGCTTCTGAATCTGCATTTAGTATTAGTGGTCAAATATTAAGCCCCCATCGCACTAGACTTCATTGGACTACTCTAGAGGTTTGATGTGTGCTAGGAGTTGGTTATGGAGTGCTGAAAACAACGGTAATGTTTTATATACCTTTTTAAATATATATTTAATGATTGTATTTTTAGATTTTAACAAGTATTCTCTTTATATTTTATCTTTAGGTGGTGTGAATTCTCAACTAATTGATGACTATGCTATTTTACTCAATGAGATGGATTCTGATGATGAAGGTATTATTTTATTTATTAAAAAAATATTATTATTTATTTTTTAATATTTTATTTCTCTTTTCAATAATATATTTTATTTTAAATTATGTAGGTGAATTGATGGACAGTGGCATTGTTGCTCATTTGGAGGATGATCATTAAATTATCTAATATTTGTTATTTTTCTTATATGTATTGTTATACACGGTTATGCATTATTATGCAGTTTTCTTATATTATTTTCCATGAGAAACTTTGTTTACTTATTTATTAGTATTTTTAGATGTCACTACAAGAAATTTTAATATTACCGACGGTCAAAATCCGTCGGTAATATTTTTATTATTTATTAAATATTTTACTTATATAGCTTATTTATTTTATAGAATACCCCTTCCCTTTATATTTTTATTATTTATTATTAATTATTTTTCCCTATTACATTTTTATAGGCTTCAATTATCGATTAAGAGAATTGTCATTGTTGAATTCGAACCTAGTACCTTAGAATTAGAGACTGATACTCCAACCACTAAGCTACCAGTAATTTTTTGATAATAATTTACAAATAAATTATATTTATATACAAATATATTTATATATTTATATATTTATATATATGTATATATGTATATATTTATATATTTATATATTTATATATTTATATATAATTAAATATTTTTATATGTTTTTATATATTTTTATATAATTAAATATCTATTTTTTAAAATTATTTAATTTAAGAAATTATTATAAATTAATCTAATTATGATTAAATGAAATTATTAAATAAAAAATATTTAATTTTTTAATTAGTTGATTTATATATAATTAAATATTTTTATATGTTTTTATATATTTTTATATAATTAAATATTTATTTTTTTAAATTATTTAATTTAAGAAATTATTATAAATTAATCTAATTATGAATGAAATTATTAAATAAAAAATATTTAATTTTTTAATTAGTTGAATATTTACTAATTGATAATTTACCGACGGAAATATCCGTCGGTAATTTACAGATGAATTTACCGACGGATATTTCCCTCGGTAATTAATTATTAATTTATCGACGAATTTACCGACGGAGATATCCGTCGGTAAATTCATCTGTAAATTACCGACGGATTTATCGACGGATATATCCGTCGGTAACTAATTATTATTTTACCGACGGATATATCCGTCGGTAAGATCAAATTCCACAAATATTATATATCCGTCGGTAATTTCAGTTTGTAATAATTATTTTCCGACGATTATAAATCCGTCGGTAATACGCGATTTTCTTGTAGTGTGTATTTCATAATTATTTTAAAAGGATCATTAGTTGAAACTTATTTTTATTATATATTTTTTACAAAGATTAATAATTTTAAAGGATTAACAACTTATAATAAGAAGAAAAAAGAATGATAAAATATATTTATTATGCATAAATATTTTAATATAAACGTAATAAATTAAAATATACACTCAATCAATAATAATATTTTAAAAGTTATAATATTATATTTATTTGTTATAAAAAATAAAATGTAGAAGATAATAATTTTAAATGATTTTATTATAATTTATATATAATTACTTTTAAAATAATACCATAGAACGGAGACGGCCGGGGCGGAAACCCGAAACCCAACGGGGACGGGGATGGGGACTTAATTTTTAACCCCGGCGGGGATCGGGGGCGGGGACGATTAAAAAAGTCGGGGGCGGGGGTCGAGGAGGCAAAACCCGCCCCCGCTCCGTCCCGTTGCCATGCCTACTTATAACTGATGTAGAGTTGATTTACGTGGAAAGCCTTCCAGAACCGACGTGAAATGTGATATTTGTAGTAGTGTTGAGCCAAACAAGTTCATAGGCAGTTGAGGTCATAATTCTATATTCTGCTTCTGCACTAGATCTAGCCACAACACTCTGTTTCTTACTTTTCCATGAGACCAAGTTACCACCAATGGAGACACAATATCCAGATGTAGATCTTCTATCCGAAGGAGATCCTGCCCAATCAGCATCTGAGTAACAAACAACTCTTGTATGGTTATTAGAATCATATAACAATCCTTTTCCAGGAGATCCTTTAATATACTATGACTGCATTCCAATGATCTTCACATGGAGAATTAAGAAATTGACTTACCACACTGGTTGCAAAGGAAATGTCAGAACGAGTAATTGTAAGATAATTCAATTTTCCAACCAATCTTCTATACTGCTCAGGATCAGGTATAAGCTCCCCCTGATTTGGTAGAAGTTTAGTATTGGGATCCATGTGAGTATCAACAGACTTTGAATTCATCAACTCAGTTTCCTCCAAAATATTCATGACATACTTCCTCTGAGATATAACAATACCATCATTGGACTATGTCACCTCAATACCCAAGAAATATCTAAGTTTACCAAGATCTTTGGTCTGAAAATGGTGACAAAGATGTTGTTTCAACTGAGAGATGTCATGGTTGTCACTACCTGTAAGAACGATGTCATCAACATATACTATCAAGTAAACACATCTAACACTTGAGTGTCGATGAAAGACAGAGTGATCTACTTCACACCGAATCATACCAAATTGTTGAACAACCTTGATGGCGACTCCATTATATTTTTATAACTTTAAATTATTATCAGATTAATGGCGACTCCCCTTTATATTTTTATTATTTATTTCCCCCATTATATTTTTATAACTTTAAATTATTATCATATTAATGAAATTGTCATTGACAAGATTTAAACCCAAGTACCTTAGAGTTGGAAGTCGATACTTCAACCACTAAACTACTAATTTTTTTTAATAATTTACAAATAAATTATATTTATATACAAATAAATGTATATCCATGTAAATATATAAATACAAATATATTTATATATTTATATATTTTGATATATTTATATATAATTAAATATTTATTTTTTAAAATTATTTAATTTAATAAATTATTATAAATTAATCTAATTATGATTAAATTAAATTATTAAATAAAAAAATATTTAATTTTTTAATTAGGTGAATAATTAATTTATTAGAATATATTAAGTAATTATTACATAATTTTACCGACAGATATATCCGTCGGTAACTAATTGTTAATTTGTCGATAGATTTATCGACGGAAATATCCATCAATAAATAATTGTTAATTTATCGATGAATTTATCAACGGATATATTCGTCGGATAACTAATTGTTAATTTGTCGATAAATTTATACCGTTGATAAATAAATGTTAATTTACCGACGGATATATCCATCGGTAATTAATTGTTAATTTACCAATGGATTTATCGACGGATATATCCGTTGGTGACTAATTATTATTTTACCAATGAATATATCCGTCGGTAAGATCAAATTTTTCAAATACTTTATATTTGTCCTTAATTTCTGTCAATAGTAACTCATTTTTCAACCGCTAGAAATTCATCACAAATTCATCAATAAAACTCCATAAAAAATATGCGATTTTTTTTATTGTTACTCACTGCTTTGTCCTTCCTCTCTACCTCTGCACTCAATTTAGTTTGGCTTCTATCAATTAGTTCAGTCCAGATGGAGCAATTTTAGATCAACAAGCAAAGATCATAAGTTTTCTTAAGATGCAAAATCCTAATAAAAAAAGTCATAAATTCAACGAAATACAAAGAGTAACTTATTATTCTGATATAAATTAGATAGAAAGATACTATTTATTTTATTTTTCAATTTGTTATTAGAATTTATATTTATAATTATTTAAAAAAAATATAGGAAATAAAAGAAAGATTGAACCTCTCATAGATGAGCAATAGCCCACAAAAAAAGACTCGATGTATTTTGGGTCTGCTCCCAATTATTCAACCCACAAATAAAAGGGACGAAAAAGAGAAAGAATTAAAGACATTTTCTTTCATATGTCTAAAGAAAAAACCTTTTGGTTGGGGTGAATTCAATTTCTAAATAATTAAATATATATAGAGAGAGTAATTAAAGATTGAGTGAAAATGTAATATAAAATAATTACTGTTAAAATAAATATATAATATTATTTAATTGACAGTATACGCAGAGTTTCTGAAAATATATTTGAGTTTACTTTTCCTAAAACATATAAAAGGAGACAATAAACATTAAATGTGATCAAGTTTCATATTCAAACAATTTGAAGAATAGGAAAAACTAAATATCTTAATTATTTCGTTGGTTAATTTGGAAACTTTTTAACTATATTTAACGATTAAAAACGAATTTTATTAATCAAATTTTAAACAAAATCTAATACTTTGGTCATTTCATCCTTAATTTTCTTCTCTTTCTGCTTTTTCTGATGCCATTTTATAGTTCATGCAGTTTGAAGAAGCACATTATCTATGGGTGCACCAACATTATCAGTCCTCAGATTCATTATTAAAATATTTCAATGATTTAGATTATAATTAACTAAATTTTAATAGGTAAAACCAAAGTAAAAAGACATAATAATCTTTGTCTCCTTCGTCCTGTCACCACTCTCACTGTGGATAACACTTTTTGGCAGAACTGGAAAATGGTTTAAGGAAAAAACAAAAATTCCACTACAACTTCAACATCTCAAACATGCAAAACTATGGAATCACTTCATCCAAAATCAATAGTACATGTATGCAATATGAAAATCCATAAGTAGAAGATTTTTTTCATTCTTGTTTGCTTAGTTTAGTGTCTCTTACAACCACATTTTTCTGTCATAAACAACTGCATTCTATGGTTACAACGACAACCTCATCAACATCTTCATCAGTCATATATCCATACGCAATATTCTGAGTAGAAATGAATTTTAACATGACCAATGGTTCTCGTCCATGAACCTAACCCTTTATCCCATTTCTCTTTTCTTTCTTCATATTCATTGATGGTTCTATCTGTGGATTCCAGGGTGGACCAGCAATGCAGGTGGTCCATTGATAAAGCTCATAAATTTTCACTGCAACGAATATGGACGCGCTTTCTCGGTTGAATCTTCATTCCTCCATCACTACATTGTTGTTGGAATCCTCATATCTCCTTCGCAGTGGCTTCCATGAAAAGCTTCCAATATCTGTTATGTTACTTTCTGATAAAGGCTGATGCTAAAAATCATTAATAGGGAGAGAGAAAGAGCTTAAACAAAATAGTCTACCCTAGATTATCATTAAGAAAAATTATGATTTGCAGTGGTCCACTTGATGAAATGGTCCATCCTTGACTTCACTGTTTCTCGATCACACCCAGTTAAATGGTATCCACAGTTGAATGATGATGGAAGATGATATACATGAATATTGCAGATGAATTTGAAAGTACTATATGTGTAAAAAAAAGAGAAAAAATTATTTGTAGAGATGCCAAAAGAAATTAACTTGTATTTGCTTCCGTATCAATGGCAGATAACTGGTGCACATGATGCATTTCAGGAATCATTTTGGGAGACTCAAAATGTGCACAAGAAGCAGAGATATAATTGTTTGGTCCACTTTGGATGGCCCCACGTACAAAAGGTTCAGCATGTGTATGCAATTAAGCATTTTACTTGCACATGGATATGGACAGTGCACAGATAAATGTGTCCTTCCAACGTATATTTCACTTTCCTACAGGCATATACATTGTCACCACACTCAACTATCACTGTTTAGCTAATATAATCGAGATTATACGTAATACATAATTTTATTATATAATCTGTTCATTTTAGTTCTGGTTCACGAGACTTTGAAACAGAAATTTATGAATTATAAAGGATACATGTTTTTGAGAACATGCAATGACTTTCTTGGCAATTTTTCACCTTAAAAAAATAGAAAGTAAATCGAAAATTATGCATTGTAAAGGATAGATATTTTTTAGAACATGCAATGACTTTTAGTTTCTTTTTTTCACCGTAAGAAATATAAAATTTATGAATTATGAAGGACAGATATATTTCAGAACATGCAATGACTTTTGCTGCATTTTTCACCATAAAACAATAAAAAGTTAAATCAATGAACCCAGATCCCTTTTCTTTCATGTAAATGCAAACAAGCTATCACAAGGTGAAAATATCCTCTCAAATTCATTTTTTTGTCGAAAGTACATCATCCTAAATAAACACAAAGTAAATGTGATTTCCCAAGCAAGAGATAAAAAAGATTAAAGATTGTGATAAATAGTGTAATGTAATAAAAAGAAGAAATGGTAAAAATTGAAATAGAAACAAACAAACCAATAAATGCTTGTTTTTATACTTCTGTTCACTCTCAGTCGCATCACTCTTCATCAATACGTGGTTGTTTTTGGTGCCATTTTCAATTGGTCAAAGAAAATGACAATAATGTATGATATGAATGGACTACCTGTTCAAAATTTCAATTCTCTGATTCTTGGCCTGGCTGTATGCTGACATATATTACCTTGATCTCCACGCCAATTGAGCTGAATTATTATTCACACGTACACTCACAACCTCTCTGTCAAACAACATGTACACTATACAAAACTACTTTTCACTGCAGAAAAGCAACTTATTATGTAACCAAAGAAAGTAGAAGAAACATTAAATCATATATTAAGATCAAAAGATAAACACCTTTAAAGTAAGTTACATTACAAAACATCTTTATGTATCCATTTTTCATCTGCATGTGTCAAATACATAGCTTTCAAACCTCCATAGTTTACACTCCAGCACAAAGTTACACCGTTTCTCTCTGGTTATACACATCTTTCTCAAAAAACAAACAAAGTTGTGAGTTCAACTTCATGGAAACTAAACATGACCAAAAGAAAGACACATTGAACATATTCAAACTAAGCACAAGGTTGGTGGTTACTTACCATGAAGGGGTTTCTGATGCAGTAATTGGTCCTAACTGAATCTTACATGAGAAGAAAAGAGCCAAACGTAGCCAGGAACAACTTGCCGGCAAAGTCACCAGAAAGAGGAAATGGTATCGCCGGCAAGTCATCCTTGGCTGCATCACTCTCTCTGCCTCTTCATGTAAGTTTCTCTTAGGAAGAAGAGATAAAAGTGGTGCTGCATGTTGCATATTGTGATAGTTCTATGCGGGTATTTATAATAGGTGGTGATGGGTGTGGTAATTTCATAGCATTTATAATATATGAATTATTATTTGGCTCATTCACCAAAATGCCAAAAGTGGGAAGTGGCTTTAGATGGCAACCGAAAGCCACACTGTGAAAGTCACACCGCCGGACTGCCACATTGCCAAACTCATCCCAAAAATCTTACATGATAGGGCATGCCACAGAGGGGACCAATCCTTCAACGGTTGGGCCCACTTTCTTTTTTCTCTTTTCTCGTGTCTAGGGTGGTCATGGAGAAGAAGGGTATGGGAAAGAGCAAAAAAAATTCAAGGTTTTTAAGGATGATTTTTTTTTTGTTTGTCATATTTATACTTGAATGTGTTTTCAGTTTTTCTTGAATAAATATGTTTTAGTTTTTTTTTATTTCTCTAATTTTTTCATTATTTTAGTTTTATCAAAAAATTAAATTTTATTTTTTTCATTTTGTACTCTATAAAATCTGTAAATACTTTTTTTTTTCTGAAATTTATTTTTTAGGTAGATAAGTAGGTGGCTTTCGAAAAAATAAGTAATGCTTTGTACCACAAACATTAATAGATTCCACTATAGACAATAAATTTTTTGTTAAAATATGTGAAAAAAGTTAATGTGTATGACAACATAATAAAGGCTACAAATAAATTTTCACATTTTTTGAGGGATAGACCAAAAAAATGTAAAATAAAAGTAAAAGTTGTTAATTTTTTTGAACAGACAAATATTTCAATTGTGTATTTTTTTATTTTATAACATTGTTCTATGAGTAAAGGAGAGGAAGAAAGGGAAAAAAAGTGAAATAAAATGGTTGTTTTTTGACAAATAGAAATTAAAAAATACAATTTTTTTATATAAAATAAATAATTAATAATTTGAATAACTCAAATTGTGATAGTATATGAGTATGGCTTGAAGTTAATTCTTCATAAAATCGTGCATGTGGAAATGAGCAACGGGTTTGAATAACTACACAAAATGCTTGGGATTCTAAAATGAAAGGGTCAGAGGAAAACAGTGATGCTTTTTTGAAATGTGTAAACTTTTTTTTTTTGTACAAAATATTGATGTCACGTACAATATTAGTTTTTCGAAAATAATTTGTTATTAAATCACAAAAAATAGTAGTTCATTACTTTTTTTTCTTCTTGTTTTGAAGATTCTGGTTACGAAATTAATCTCATGAAAATAAAAACATAATCATACTTGTTCTTATGAATGTCCCAAATTAAATTAAACATGCATTTTTCAAAAAGCTCATTATTTATACATGCAACATAGGTTAGCTTCAGTATAATGTATTAAAAAATCATTGTCAAAAATGGAAAATTTTAATAGGTCAGAATAAAAAACAATTCGATGTTAATTGGACTAATATTAAAGGGACAAAATTTAATTTTAACTTTTATTAGAGGGTTTATTTTGGGACCAACTATCACTACATACTGTAACATATATAGCTCTGTCAATGTGTAAGTGTCTTTGGACACCATTTACAAGAGAAATTTGAATTTTGTTCTTCAACAAAACCCTTTGTATTTAGTGAAACGATCAATGAATATGTGAATAAAATTTATATCAAAGATGAATCATTTTTGCAGTTTTTTCACAAACACTTATACAAAGAATAAAATGAGTTTTTAAAAATTAAAAATTTAATTTGTATATAAGTTTGTTAATTTTTTTGGAAATCGCTTTATTCTAATATTTTTATGCATACATGAATTAGTTTTAGGTTATAAAAAAAGTTTTTTTTTTGTTTTTTTTTTCTTCTTCTATGAGTAGTCTCTATGAGATTTTGTACTTTATCGTTCACATCCACCATATTTTATTTAAAAATGTGATTTTCATTAAACACTTTTGTCTTTTTAGTTGAATTTACATGAATTATACATGTTTTAGCGTGCCACCATTTAGTTTCTCTGTGTATTTTCATTTATTTCTGATTCAGATATTAAAAATATATTAAAATATTAATGCATTTATGAATTACAAAACGCACCAACAAAACCATCGAATTTTTTCAACTTAAAACAGCATCAACTACTAATTAATCAAATATTTGATTGTTTAATATATTTTCGTTTATTTTATAAGATAAAAGAATGTGTGGAATCATTAGTATTGAGTTTAAAACAGTACTAAATTTCATGTTTGGAACACAAAGGACAATAAAGTGAACAAAATCTAATGATCTGCAAAATCAATGAGATTAAATTGTGTCGAGTGATTACACGCGTAGAGCAATGAAATCAAATGAATGATCGTTGAAGTTTTCACTTTTTAATACATTGATTAACGTGGTCAACAATTGTCAGCGTTGCGGCTAATATTCCTAAAGAAACATTTAAAATTTGTTTGATGGTGAAAGACATGAAATTTTTGAAGATGTTTATGAGAGTAATAAACAAAATAGAATAACATGAAAAAGAGAAAATAAGTGTGAGGAATGGTTAAAATGGATGCATGGAAGATGAGAGAGCACACGAGGGTAGGGTTTGGATGAATTTGAAAAAAAGTGAAGGGTGTTGTTGTGGGGCTTATTATGTGTGTCCCTTTTCTTGGCCTTATGCTTCATGTTTGCTTTATGACAAATTGCTTTCATGCTTTTTCATAGTGCTTGGAAAAGCCTGAAACTGCATACAATACCTCATCCCAACATTAACATAGGACCATGTCACATGATACCTTTCGCCCCTATAAAATATGTTTTGTTGCTTTTCCCAGTTTTCTACGTTTTATTTTATCATATTTTTTAATCAATTTTGTTTAAAATACCTTCATGACATTAGAACTCGAAATCTGATTTATCCATTTTTAAATATAAAATAATAAGACAATTTTAAAATTAGATTTTATTAATTATATTCTTATATTTACTGTCAACAAATATGATTTCAATTACACTTAAATCAAAACAATGAGAATTGTAGATATATATGTTCACTTTATGTGCGCGTTAATTAATTCTTATAATTTTTTATTTGTCTTTTTAAGTTATTTTTACAAGAATCGAGAAAGATAATACTTTTTAATTTTAATAAAATATTTACGCTTTGTTCTTAATATGCGTGTTTACGGAAATTAATAAAAATATTATTTTTATGATTTATAATATATTTGTCATGTTTTTAATAATACTTTATTTTAATATTTTATTCTTAATTAAAAATCACTCATAATAATCTATTATCTTTTTATATAATAAAAAATTGAAAAAAAATATAATAAAAAATAATTAATATATTTGTAAACCTTGTAAATAAAGATATATTTTTAAATATTATTTTTTTCATTTTATCATTTCCATCTAACATAATAATATATGCATAAATTATTTTAAAATTAAAACCACATTAAAAATAAAATTAATTAAATATTAATTTTGTCACCTAAAAACAATAATATATATATATATATATATATATATATATATAATTATGGAATAGACAATGCATTTATATTATACTTATTCAGTTCCATAATTAACTAAAGTAGTTTAAAATTTCTTTGTATAATAAAAACATTAATAAGTATCTATGAATTTACTAAAGAAAAAAATTAAGAAATTAAAGAATTAATTAAAAATAAATAAAAATTTGATATTTTATTAAAAATAAAAATATCTATGAATTTAATATGTGTGAATAATATATCCGGGACCGAATAAATATGTAATAAAAAGACACGAAAAAACATTCTGAGCGTATCATGTTCGGTCCAGAGACAGTGGCAGTGCCGAACACTTTGAAGAGTATTAATTGGAAAATCTAATTCAGCTGCTTTACACTGTACATTCTCTGCTTTCGGTGATTTTGTTTGGTTTGGAAAATGTTACCAAAGAAATCGGATCCCCAATGCTGTGACATGTGAAACCTAATTTTGATTCGGCTAGACAGAGTGTTGCCTCGGAACAACACCTCCACGTGGTTAGGTTACCTTTCAATTCTATCACGCAATATGTTACATCAATTTCACATGTACCTATGAACTGTAAATTATATCAATTTTTATCTCATTATATACTAATTTTGATAATTTAAATAATAATATAATTATGATTTATTTTTCATTTCTCCAATTGTTCGAACTTACCTATGATACTAATTTATAAACCATAAATAGTTATCTAAAAATTAATTATAATAATTAATTATCATCTTATATTAATTTAGTTAATAATTTAGCTGAAAATTTATATATATAAAAAAATAAGTAGTTAATTATAACAATAAGTTATCACTTTATATTACTTTATATCAGTTTAATTAATAGTTCCTAATTCAAATCTTGAGTAATTTTATTAAATTATTAGATGAAAGAATAACTATTTCTAAAAAAATTAAATGTCAATTTATAGAAAACTAAAATAAATAAATAATAGTCAATAAATTCTAAATAAATGTAGAGTATAAAGTATAAATTTTGAACATAGGTTATTAAAGATTCTACCCTTACCTACTTAGATTCTATATACTAATATTAATTATAGTTTGGGAGTGAAAACTATTATTATATAAATTTATGACATTCAAATAACTTTTAATTATAATAAAAATAAAATAGATATTAATAAAAAGAAAGATTCTACTAATATTAGATATTTTTAATCAAACATATTTTATTTATTATAATAATATTAATTATAAATTTTATCATTTAATTATTAATATTAAAAAAAATATTATTATTATTATTATTATAAATTTTTAAAAGATACTTTAGACAAAAATTCATAGTGTAACTTCTTATTAAGCCTATGATTAACGTGTAAAAACTGTGTTTTTTCATTATATATGTCATCATTTTATTCTAAATAAATACTTGCCTAACAAGCCTAAAATAAAAAATTAATATGTAGCTAAAATATTAAAAAAAAATAGTTACTTTAAAATATTTAAAGAAGTCATTTAAATATCTTCATATATTATCAAGTAAATAAAAAAATATATAAAAAAGTTTAAAATAACTTTAAAGAATCCATTTAAACTTTTATATAGTAAAAATTAGAAGTTTCGAAAGACAAACTCATGGATGTGGAACTTCACTCCAACATCATGTATGACATAATTCAGTTTCTTTTATGAGAATTATAATAAACATCCTTTTAATACAATACATGTATTATTTTGCAACACCAAGTTTTTGTAATAATTTTCATGGGTTAAGGAAATATATATATATATATATATATATATATATATATATATATATAGAGAGAGAGAGAGAGAGAGAGAGAGAGAGAGAGAGTTACTAAAAATTTGTTCTTTGTTTTTGTTATATATTTCTTAATAATCTAAAAAGTAGTAATAAAAATAAGTCTTTAATATTTAATCTTTACTTTTTTAGAGTGAATTCCTTCTCTTAATTATATATATTTGGAAACATTTCACAATTTAAATTTAAAAATTATGGTTACTATATACATTCCTCAAAAATTAATTTAAATATATAATATAAAAATATATTTTAATAAAATAGAAATTAAGACACTGAAAAATTAGGAACTAGATTAGATTTAACGACTAAAATATTAATCATTAAGTAATTAACTAAATAAAAAGTAAAATATTAGAAGATTTCGCTTTATAGTTTATCTACTATTAGCTGAGGGAATTATTTATTAGTATTATCTGACACAAATAATTTATTTCTTTTAAATATTAGTTGTATTATCATAAATAATCCTCCAAATTAAAATTAGATTTATAGTTCAATGAATTAAACGTAATTAGATTAAAACAATTTCATAAACAACAAGTCTTGGTTCAGTATCGCAGTGACCAATTCTTAATGTTGGTTTCAAGACTAACTTTTTTCTGGTGTCAATTTGTAGTCTTTTTATAGAAGAAATGTGTCTTTAATGTATAAAAACTCTTAAACTCTTGGTTCTCCCACACCATGCCAGACCAAATCCTCTGTCCTTCACTGCAACTCCTTTTCATTCAATCTTTGTTCATTCTCTACCTTGTCTGCACCAAATTTCTTTCATGTATTATGGTGGTAATGGTCAATCTCTGGTATAGGGAGATAACAGTCAGTTGTATTGTTTCAAGATACAAATGAGCTCGAAAATGTTAGATGTAGAATTCCAGATTGAATAATGGAGTTTCTCAAGTTGTAACCTTCTCAACAAACTACTTTACATTCCCATGGACACAAGAAATTTGAGTCTGCATTATTTTGGACCTGCTAAAGTCATAATAGAACTTATTGTAGCATGCAAGTTGCTTTTGCCTCTGTATGCACACATCCCATCTTACATATTTCTGTACTTAACATATTTGTATAAGGGTCCTAAAGGAACTCTAGTTAATATGACCTTCTACCTCTCACCACATCCAAGGATGAAAGTACAGGTGAAAGTTTATCAGAAAAATAAGGTATCTGAAACATCTAAGCTCTCTGAGAAAAAGAAACAGTGGAAACTGAGAGCAAGTAAAAAGGAGTGTGGAATTTTCACTAGCCAAACCTACACATTTCAGAATGCAACAACGAGTCTCTTCTGTCACCACTAACAAGAAGCCACAGCATAAATGCCAAGAATTACCCATAATTAACATAAACTAATTTCAACAATTAATCAAGCACACTTGGAGTTGCAATTTTGCTAGACATTGATTCTCGTCTTTGTACATATATAACACGTGTACAGAAAGAAGTTATATAACTTATTCTGAGTAAAAATGGAATCAAATTAAACAGCACCATAAAAAATACACCAATCATCTATGATAAGGTTATTTAACTCCATTTTTACTTAGATAAATCAGACAATCTTGTAAAAAAAATTGCTAAGCTCCATCTTTTAACTCACGAGTTCAACAGGCTGGTAACCTTTCTGGATCGACTCTTTAACTGCATCCAACACAAGTTGAGTCTTTCTGCTGAAAACTGGCCAAGTCTTCTCAGGCTTCATTTCACATCCCTTAATTTTTTGAACCAAATCCGCAAACTGCTTAACCATCCAAACTTCTTGAGAAAATTCTGTCTCCACAACATGCTCATTTGGTTTAGGACACCACATTCCCGGTTCAATCGTCCCATAATCCAACTCTGAGGTCTCCAAAAAGGTGCCATACCCCAAGTTCTCTTCAAATGGAAGGACAAAATCATGGAGACGAAGACACCCTTTTGTTCCCAAAACTGTTACATCAAAGGTTACATAGGATAAGAAGGAACAGTGAAAGGTGGCAGATCTTCCATCTTCCCAATGCATAGAAGAGCCACAAGAGATTATTACACCTTCCTCATTGAGAATGGCTCCTGGGAATGCAAGCACTGATTTTGGAAGTTCATAGTCCACAGCCCATAAGATGGCTCTGATACAATACCAACCAGTGTCTCCCAAGGCACCAAGACCATCCAAATCTGGCTTCACTCGAATGCTACTTTTCAGAAATTCAGGACCAGGGTTGTATGTGAGGCAAGTGTGTATCTGATGAACAACAACACATGCCAAAGATAATCATTCAATAAGAACATATGAAGTTAAAGTGAAAAACTGCATACATTAACGTATCGAAAGATTATACCACATGTTTTATACGATAGAGAACTTATAATGAAAAAATAAATATATAGTAATAATATACTATATTTTACACATAATATTTTATTTACTCAAAAATGCTCTTAAAAATAAATAAAAAATAAACTTGTAACTAGAGATGTATGATGCACAAAAGATTAATTTTTATATTATACAGAATATTATTAAGCTATTTAAATATGTTTTAAAAATATTTAGAGAGGTTAATGCGAGCCTTTCAAGGGGATTCACCGGGGAGAGACAAGACAACATTAACACTACAAGAAAAAACACATTTAGCCATCAAAATTAGCGACCGAATTTTTTCGGTCGCAATTAGCGACCGATTTAATTTTGGTCGCAATTAAAGACCGATTTAGCGACCACTTTAAATCTGTCGCAATTAGCGACCGATTTAGTGACCACTTTAATTCGGTCGCAATTAGCGACCGATTTATCGACCACTTTAATTCGGTCGCAATTAGCGACTGATTTAGCAACCAAAATATGATTTGATTTTCACTTTTTTATTTAGCGACCGAAATAGCGACCAATATTTTGCGTCACAAAATTTCGGTCGCTAAATCGGTGGCTATTTCATACATAAATAAAAAAATCATTTAGCGACTGATTTAGCGACCAAATTACAAACTGAAATAGTGACCGAATTAAAATCGGTCGCTAATGAGAAAATAATCGATGATTTTATCTGATTTTTGCAATATCGCTCAAGCGAAAATAACATCGCTCAAGCGACGCCACCTGCACAAAATTGGCATTCTCGGGTTGTATATTTGTCACTTTTAAGAGCGGTTAATATTTACACCGCTCTTAAAAGTGAACATATAATAAGCGGTTCTAAGTGAACCGCTATCATATACAACCACATTTTTTTATTCTGATCGATTATATTTTCAAATGATCGATCATATTTGATAATTTTTTCAAATAATTAATTATAATCGATTAGTTTTCTAAATTATTGATTAGAATTGATTAGTTTTTCAAATAATAGATTATAATTGATTAATTTAAAATATATATTAAAAAATTATAATTAAAAATATAAATTATTTAAGAATATTAACTATTGTAAAGATAAAGTAGAACATGGGAGGAGATGAGAATGATAATATAATGATAGAACTTACAAAAATGTAGAATTGAGAAGTTTAAAACAAAAAAAATTAAGAAAATAGAGATTTAATTACACTTGTTAATAAATTTAAGATAATACTAGTTTTGATTTTTATTTTTAAATATTTATTTCAATTTTTTAAAAGCAGAGAAACTATAATTTTAATTTCTAGATACTCAATTTAAAGAAATAAATTTATTATTATTTAATCTATTAATTTTAGTATTAAAAATTTAAATTATATTTTATTAAATTAAAATAATTACAATATATTTTTCTACTTTGAGAATGAACAATATAATTAAACTTAAAATTGACAATATTATAATACATTTTTGAACTCTTTTGAATTAATTTTTTTCCTAATTTTTGATAAAGTTAATTTTAATATTTAAAAGTATTTAACATTTTGAATTCTGAAAGGTTTTCTCTAATAGCAAATTTAAAAACATAATATTCAAAAAAATAGTTAATGTAAGTTTTCATTATGATTGATTATATTTTGAAATGATCGATCATAATTGAAAAGATATAATAAGCGGTTCACGTTAACAGCTATCTAAAATATATTTTAGATAGCGGTTAAGGTTTAACCGCTATTAGTAAGTGCTTTTAAGAGCGGTTCTACTAGAACAGCTATCATATACAACCACATTTTTTTATTTTGATCGATTAGATTTTCAAATGATCGATCATATTTTATAATTTTTCAAATAATTCATTATAAACGATTAGTTTTCTAAATTATTGATTAGAATTGATTAGTTTTTCAAATAATAGATTATAATTGATTAATTTCGAAATATATATTAAAAAATTATAATTAAAAATATAAATTATTTAAGAATATTAACTATTGTAAAGATAAAGTAGAACATGGGAGGAGATGAGGATGATAATATAATGATAGAACTTACAAAAATGTAGAATTGAGAAGTTTAAAACAAAAAAAATTACGAAAATAGAGATTTAATTACACTTGTTAATAAATTTAAGATAATACTAGTTTTGATTTTTATTTTTAAATATTTATTTCAATTTTTTAAAACAGAGAAACTATAATTTTAGTTTCTAAATACTCAATTTAAAAAAATAAATTTATTATTATTTAATCTTTTAATTTTAGTATTAAAAATTTAAATTATATTTTATTAAATTAAAATAATTACAATATATTTTTCTAATTTGAGAATGAACAATATAATTAAACTCAAAATTGACAATATTATAATACATTTTTGAACTCTTTTGGATGAATTTTTTTCCTAATTTTTGATAAAGTTAATTTTAATATTTAAAAGTATTTAACATTTTGAATTACTGAAACGTTTTCTCTAATAGCAAATTTAAAAACATAATATTCAAAAAAATAGTTAATGTAAGTTTTCATTATGATCGATTATATTTTGAAATGATCGATCATAATTGAAACGATATAATAGCGGTTCCACGTTAACCGCTATCTAAAATATATTTTAGATAGCGGTTAAGGTTTACCGCTATGAGAATGCGCTTTTAAGAGCGGTTCAGGTGGAGCAGCTATCATATACAACCACATTTTTTATTCGATCGATTAGATTTTCAAATGATCGATCATATTTGATAATTTTTTCAAATAATTAATTATAATCGATTAGTTTTCTAAATTATTGATTAGAATTGATTAGTTTTTCAAATAATAGATTATAATTGATTAATTTCGAAATATATATTAAAAAATTATAATTAAAAATATAAATTATTTAAGAAAATTAACTATTGTAAAGATAAAGCAGAACATAGAAGGAGATGAGGATGATAATATAATGATAGAACTTACAAAAATGTAGAATTGAGAAGTTTAAAACAAAAAAAATTAAGAAAATAGAGATTTAATTACATTGTTAATAAATTTAAGATAATACTAGTTTTGATTTTTATTTTTAAATATTTATTTCAATTTTTTTAAACAGAGAATCTATAATTTTAGTTTCTAAATACTCAATTTAAAGAAATAAATTTATTATTATTTAATCTTTTAATTTTAGTATTAAAAATTTAAATTATATTTTATTAAATTAAAATAATTACAATATATTTTTTTACTTTGAGAATGAACAATATAATTAAACTCAAAATTGACAATATTATAATACATTTTTGAACTCTTTTGGATTAATTTTTTTCCTAATTTTTGATAAAGTTAATTTTAATATTTAAAAGTATTTAACATTTTGAATTCGAAAGCGTTTTCTCTAATAGCAAATTTAAAATCATAATATTCAAAAAAATAGTTAATATAAGTTTTTATTATGATATAATGAGAAAATAATCGATCATTTTATCGATTTTTGCAATATCGCTCAAGCGAATTTCACATCGTTCGAGCGACGCCAACTGCTTAAGATTGTGAAGTCTCGGGTTGTATTTCGCTTGAGCGACACTATACTCGCTCGAGCGACATCCGATTCAAACATGAGGTCACCCATGTTACATTATCCGGCTAACTTTGATCGACGGTTACGCAGGTCAACATTCGCTCAAGCGAAAATAACATCGCTCGAGCGACGCCACTTGCACAAAATTGGCATTCTCGGGTTGTATTTCGCTTGAGCGACACTGGTCTCGCTCGAGCGACGCCACCTGCACAAAATTGACATTCTCGGGTTGTATTTCGCTTGAGCGACACTGGTCTCGCTCGAGTGATATCTGATGAAAAAATGTATCAATAAATAAATAAAATATAATTAGATAGCGGTTAAGGTTTAACCGCTATTAGATGCTCACTTTTAAGAGCGGTTCAAGTGGAACCGCTATCATATACAACCACATTTTCTTATTATGATCGATTACATTTTCAAATGATCGATCATATTTGAAAATATATAATAGCGGTTAAGGTTTAACCGCTATTAGATGTTAACTTTAAGAGCGGTTCTAGTGGAACCGCTATCATATACAACCACATTTTTCATTTTCGTATACATCATAGTCGCGCCACTTATCCCCAAATAACCTTAACTCTCGCGCCTCACTTACCCATTCCTCTTAACCTTGCAAATCCCATGGTCAGTATCTCCTCCTCACTCCCGGCGAGCCCTAGCCCCCTCACTGCTCCCCCCAAGTCAGCCCTCACCCTAATGCAACCTCCACCAAAGCTCCTCGTCAACCGGATGCCACCCTGTGAGCCACCGCGCCACACCTATGTTCTTAACCTCCTCACGACCTACGCCACAGAAACGACCTTCAGAATATATGTAAAACATGTGCTTGAATGTATATTCAACCAAGGTTTGGCTTGTTTGAATGTATATCTTGTTATTCTCTTGCATTGTGAATAATATAGGAGAGATAACTTTGACAGAATTTCTTTATCGTTTGTTGTAGGTGGATTTGTGAAGTAGATAGGTTCTTCGATCCCTCTTACTTGCGGATTTGGTGGTGCTTGACAGGACCAATTTGGGAACTTGTTGAGGCTATGCGCCCTCAGGTTAACCATTTGTAATTTGTTTTAATTATCTATTGGATCTTAGTGAAAAGAAATTTCATAATTATTGGGTTTACTTACACAATTATTTGTTGAGTACGTATCATACGTCTTGCATAAGTAGTGGATAAATACCTTGGAAAAAATGTATTAGAAAAACGTAAGTACTTGCATCACATGAAGTGAATAATGTAGTTTCACTTATGCTTGATTGTTGTAGTTAATTTGCAAGAATAGAAAAACATAAGTAGTGCATCACATAAAGTGAATAATGCGGTTTCACTTATCTTGATTGTTGTAGTTAATTTGCAAGAATAGAAAAACATAAGTAGTGCATCACATGAAGTGAATAATGCAGTTTCACTTATGCTTGATTGTT